ATAAGAAAAGAGGAAAAACAATTTTACCGCGTAGCAAACAAGTCGAAAATCATTATCCCGTGTATAATTGAGCAAAATGGATTTAATTTCCGTGGATCAATTTTCGATGGAAAGAAAATTCTTTGCGCTTCGCGGGCTTTCCAATAAATTAATTAGTACTAATTAGATAGGAATTAGCTTGCACTCGCCGACGAAAAATGGACGACGTCACGCCAATTGACGTCCCAGATAAAATGTGCACGGATTAGCATATAAGTGGCTAGAATGTACACGCGCTAAATACTCTCCTTTGTTGCAAGTCAAACAAAACGAGTATTACAAATAGTTGCGTAACAACGCTGCACATGTGCAACGATGTCGGATGTATGGTAGCGTAACATACGTTTCGAACAGCATCGGAGAAACGGGTGATAAATATTCTCTACGAAGATAAAAAAATATGAAAACGAATTATCGCGGTGTGAACAGGAAATGTATCGAGCTACGTACTTTTAAAATGGAAAGTTTGCTTGTCTCTTTTGAGATTTTCAAGAACGTTATTATGTAACTCTCAATTTTAATTAACAAATTTAAGATTATCATATATATATGTATGTATATATATAAATTGTATCTATGAATGAATAAGTAACGAGATAAAATATAAACTTTCTAAAAATTTCTATTTAGAAATCGCTAAATAGAAATATATCAATAGAGGATATAATGATTATTCAAATAAACAGAAAGCATATTTTCCAAGAATTTCAATCTTACTTGGTAAAAATCTTCTATTTACAAATACAAGAAATAAATGCGTGCACGATGCGATCCAAGAATGACTAAACAAAAAAGGGCAAAAAAATCTTCCAAGAATTCTTATTACAGAACTCGCGCTCCCCATAATTACACATCCAATTATCCAATCCTCAACAATTCCGAAACTTACGTTGAATTATACCGCGTAAATCCACCTTCACGTCCTCGAAAGAAACGCGAAGATCTCGTTTCGAACGCTGAGGAGATCAACTTCGTCCAGGAAACAATTTTCGAAATTGAACAATTTTTCAAAATTCATTCTCTCGATTCGTTTTTCGATCGCTGTACGATCGATAAACTTTATTCGAGGATTGAACAACAAACGTTTAACGGCGGTCTGATCCGTTTCCATCCACGGATTATTGGAGATAAGTTCGGGTCTGTGGCGTTAATTGCGCATCCCCTGAGGGGGATCTGTGCACAAGTGGCGGTGAGGGAGAGAAGAGGAGGAGAGAAGGAGGACGCAAAGGTAAAGGGGGTGGTGTTGTCGCGATGCTATCCTTATATGTATCGACAGAAATGCCGCGGATCTTGGTATATCGAGAGAGAGAGAGAGAGAGAGAGAGAAAGAGAGAGAGAGAGATCACTTTGCCAGCCGTGCATTATAAATATCGTGTCCGTTGTTTAAAGGAACTTGGGACGTGTCGATTCGCGGGAACGCGTAAATAATCGAGGCGTTGTTTCCGCGAGAAATACGAGGCGATGTTTGGGAAACTGTGGAGACGGTGGAAAATCATTTGGAGTGGCTTCAGGAAATTTGCGATGCAATGTCGAAGGAATACGAGGAAATTGTTTAGATAATTATTTAGAATTTTTGGAACGTTATAAATTTAAGAACAAGTGTTGAGTGTTGTATCGAGATAATTAAATTGGATGAATTTGAAGGTGAATATGGAATATTTAAGTATCGATGTATCGAGAAGGTTAAATTGAAATTGGTGAAAATAATTTGGAATTATTTTGAAAACAAGTGCTAAGTGTTGTATGAAGAAAATTGGAATGATGAATTTGGAGAAATATTTAAATATTGATATCGAGAAAATTAAATTGGAGTGATGAATTTGAAATATGGAATATTTAAGTATCGATGTATCGAGAAGATTAAATTGGAATTGGTGAAAATAATTTGGAATTATAAATTTGAAAAGTTTAAGCGTTGGATATCAGGAAATAACATTGAAAGCTTTTTGATTTATGGATATAGAGGTAGGAAGGAATTTGAGGATATGCTAAAATTATTGTTATGTTGTTATTTTTGAAGGAAGGTTTAAAGTTTTATGACGCAAATTCTTTCTAAAAATACTAGTGAACGTCGCGATGTGTATCCAAAGAATTAGCACCGAATGGAGGTGTGTCTAATCTGACGATTGCGTGTGCAAACACGTTTGTCGATTCGTTAAAGTATTTATTTTATTTATTTTGCAACAATGCCTCGTGTGATATAAAATCCCTCCATTTTAACGGAATATAACGAATCTTATTTGACGCATGTAATGTCAATCGTTAAACTGATCTTATTAAACGCATACTCGACAGTTGACTGTGCGACGTTGACTATTCCGATCATATATAAATAATCTCGTATCTATTTGGAACAAAGTTATATTCGAACCTTATCTGTTCTAAATTAATCATCACACATTTATACGTATCAATCCATTTAACACGGCATAAAAGAAATTGTTACACGCATAATTTTCACAATATTCGTTAAAAATATCTTATCTATATACAACTCTTACAACTTCTCCAACGAACTTTTCACTTTAACAATCGATAAATTCTTTTCAAACAATTTTCGCAAAGATATTACGCGAATACGATAACTCGAAGACGAATCGAAAATCTGACATACCCGATCGTGACGTGACGACGAAAACAATGTGTCTTGTCGTCATATTTCCACGTTACCGAACTCTACTCTGTTTCCACGAGCACGAGATTATGCGCGTGCGGAATGTAAGCAGCGATCGGATCGCTGGTAAACACGAAGAAATAGCGGAATGCGATATGCAAATCGGTATCAGCGGCGTAGGTGTAGTAGTTTGAGCAACAGTTGAAAAGCTACGTGATCGAGTATTTTTTTATTACATCATCATTTAAATTTGGTAACTATTCGACCACTGTTATTCGCAGAAATCGGACATCGAGTTAAATCATATGCAAAAACTTATTTATTAATCCTATGAATCCGATTGAAATCGGATAAAAAAGTTCCGTTGTTGTTATTTTACGATAGAAATATATATATATATATATATATATATTTTCAAAAATTAAAAATTAACAAAAATAAAAATTTCTTCTCCACGTTCCTCGCACCTTCCTCCTTCTCCGAATCGAGGAAAAGAATCGAGAAAGCTTTCTCGATTATTATTGCCTAATATAAACGCGTAAAGCCAATACATGGGAATTTTGCATTTGGTTTAATAGAAGGATGGTCACAGTCCATCGTTATCAGAATTTTATCGCGAATTTACGATCGTCCGAGGCCGGTCGTCGTGTAGCCCAGGTTATTGACTTCTCTTGTATACGCACGTAAAACGAGCCGCGTACACGGCACGCATGGAATAATTATTCTCAATAACCTATATATTGTCGCAATTTATACGTGGAAGACGCATTAATGAATATATCATTGGCCCTGCCGAGTCGACGATCAATGGGTAAATGAGTGGACGTTGAATAACCGGGCGAATCAATTAGTCCAACATCCCTTTCAACCGTGACTCCCTTTCCTTCCGTTTCGATATCGATTAATTCGCCATTAGCGGCAGATTAAGTCCGGACATAATTAATGACCTCTATGGCTTCGATGAATTCGACTTGGCCCACGCTTCTTCGAGCTATCGTCCTTCGACGACGGAGTTTGCTTCTTCGAGCCAACGATGGGTACGCGGATAGAAAGTCACCTACGCGTTTCGAGAATGAATTTCCGATTCCATAAACGCGGCCGTGGCGCCCGATTTATATACAGAGATCGGGACTAAAATATCGTGATCTAGGAACGGGACGATCGATCGTGATTTAAAGATCGAATTTTCATTCATGATTTTCGTTGCAATGAAAGAAGACAGCGAGTTATTTACGATAAATAAAAAGAAATATTAATTTAAACGTTAATCGGATCACGAGTTGAAATTCTCTTTCTGAATTAAATTCAATTACATATAAAGTGAAATCTTTGTTCCAGAATAATAATAACTAACCTTTTCTTTTTCTTTTTTTTTTTTTTTTCAGTATTCAAAGTATTTAAAATCTTCAATATTCAAACTCTTCGTTTCAGAATAATAATTAATATCGAGTTTCCGATGCTCAACTCTCTCATTCATCGATGTACAATAAAAAAATAAACATGGCGCTCGCAAATCGGTCAAGGAATCACTATCCCACGATAAAAACCGTGCATATTCATCGCGAACGAAATCATAAATATTCCAACCAGAAAACATGAAAGAAAATTAATCAGAGATATCGCCTATACCCGTCCATCGATCCAATAATCCGTCGACGCATTATTGCATCGCGGAATTTCGTACCGGTTCGATACCGGTTTTTCGGGACAATGTCACGAAGAAAACTTGTTGCATAGTATAGGATAGCGTTCGTCGACCGGTTTTCGCGTGTGCGCGATACGAAATCGACTCACCTCGTTGTCAATCCACCCTGCCCGCATCGTGTATCCTCGTCGTCATCGTGGATAGGATGGTCGATGATCGAATCGATCGGCACGATGCTTGTTTGTTACGCGCCAAGAAGCGGGAAAATATCGAGAGGTGTGCACGTAGTACACGATCGGGACAAATCCACGCGCTGGTCCCCGTACAGACTCGAAGAGGTGACTGGGAGATTCTGAGGACCGTCGGTTCTGGTTCACGACTGGTTCTTCTCCTTCTCCTTCGGCCTCTGGCCCCTTCCATGCTGGCTGCACAGCACCAAGGAAACAGAGACGCGTATACCCGTGTCTGCGAACATTAGACGGAGTCGGATAAGTCGTGTGTTCGAAATAGAAGAGGAGAGGAGAGTGAGGAGGGAGAGAGAGGGAGAGAGAGCGCGCGAGATGCTGGAGAGATTCGAGCAGAGACGCCAGGCAACGGCAGGTTGCTCCTTTCGAAGGGAACCTTCGGAGGGACGGGGTGAAGCTCCGGCTAGGCCCCACCGGGTGAAAAGAAGTCGATCAGGTAAGGGTCAGGGACGCATTCGCAACTTTTGCCTCGGTCGCCAGATGCTCCATGTTGTAAAGGATAAAAAGGTTTTTTTCCTACAACGATCGAAACTGCGTAATAGAGAATGTAGAAAACGTAATGTAAAAAGATATGTTGATGAATGATAAATTAATGGTGGTATTTTATTATGAGATAGAAATGTAAATTGTTTAATGGATAGTTGTATAGCTATTTAATTATATCTTGATGGGAATGTAATGCGAGAGGAACTACTTTTTTTTTTTTTTTTTTAAAAGAGGAAGTTAAAACGAAGATTGCACAATCACCATTCAATTAGCACAGTAACGAGTTTTCATCTGGTTTTATTTACGTAACCGGCGGTAAATCGCGATATGAGATCATACAAGCGAGCAATCATCGGCGTGCTTTCACGCCGATCGTTTTACGATTATTACCTGCTATTTCGATCTCTGTGTTAGTTAAGGTAAACAGAGATCTAGAAAGAAAATACGAAGAGATCGAGAAAGAAAATACGGAAAGAGCGATACGAGTTAATACTTGCTTATAAAAGTGATTCAAAGAAAGTGAGAATAATTTTCCAGCTGCAAATGTATTTTTACCTGCGCCCGGTCTCGTAACAAATTCGTGCGGACAGATCGCTCATTTCCTTTGAACGCGCGTTGAAAGCAGAAAGAACGTGACAGGGGAGAAACAAATGACGTCACGCGATTCTACCTCGAAGAAACCGGCTATTCAGTTCGCAAATCTTCCAGCCTGAATAGGAGCGTTCAGGGTCTAAACCCTGGCTGGACTGGTATAGACGCAGATTAGTCCACGAACCTTTGTACCTTCGTCTCAGGTAGAAGAGAGATCTGACCGATAAACTTGAAACTTTGTTCCAAAAAGGAGTAGGAATACAGGAAACGTCTTATTCTTTGATTACATGGAAATCTCTTTTTGACGTAGATCTGCAAAAGGACGTAATAGTATGCTTAAAGTAACTTTAGCCTCAGCTGGTAGGTTGGGGTTAAAACGACGCTCATTGTTCTTTCGAAGCTTGTTGGTATCTGATTACTCGTCTGGTTGATGTACAAGAGGGTTAAAATTATTCCTGTTAGTAACTCTCCATGACGCGTACAATATTGTATACCAAAATCAATTCTATTAAGAATAGAAGAATAGAAGAATAGAAGAAAATTAAGAATAGAAAATTAAAAATAAAAATAAAAATATATCTAGTTTTTCATAAATCAGGATAAAATCTATTTTCTTTTTTTTTTTTCTTTTTGTCTCTCAAAAATTCTATTTGCATCGTATACGAATCAATCTACCAGCTGAGAGGGATTAACAAGTTTTGCAATAACGTCTTACCAGGATCAAGGTGTGCTCGCCTTGAACGTAACGCTTCACTTCAATAAACATACGCACACCGACATTCGTAAATTCCAGTCACGTCCTACACGGTTGCGTTCAGAATCAGATGAAACTGATAACGAATACATTACGACATTTTTACGGTGATTTGTTCCGTTGGAGTCCAGGGCCAAATGACAACAGCTAATAGGAAGACTTGATGTCGGCACGAGTGATGGCAATGACCCGAGCATCGTGCGAATCTCTCGATCGGGTCCAGCTGGTGCTGGGGCGCAGTCGACAAATAGATTTCGCGCATTTTCCACCTCGCGAGCACTCTATCCATTTCCGAGCGGGATGAGTCAGGCTTCCACTCGAAGCTACCGGTCACTCTTCTATTTTAATAATTGCCGTAGCGGCCCACCTCTAATTTTACCTCGACAAGAGGAGTAGCGAGACAGAATAGCCGCTGACTGTGCACTGCGATCTGCCCTTTTCGTACTTCGTTAACATATGCACTTTTGTTATAATCAAGTTACAGCTGGAAACACGAAACGAAGTCAATTAACCATGTCGCACGATTTCATCCGATATGCGTTCTATTACGCATTCCACAGACTCCAAATTGAGCCGCGACGAATTAATGTCTGTTTCTTACCTAATTTCTAAATAAGTGGCATGTAAATTTCCTGATGTCGTAAGTATATAGAGATGTCCCACGTATATACTGCGTAGATTCTAGTTTGGAATTAAAGAAAAATGAGAAAAGTTAAGGATGAAAAATCATTACTTAAAAATTAATTAGAAAAGATGAAAAACTTACATTATGTTACTGATAAAATGTTATTTAGACGTTATTTGAATTATAGCTGATCTATTACTATGCCTGTAATTTGTAAATTAATATACAACATGATTGGTATAATTCTATAAAAAAATATAACCTCAAAAAATCTATTAAGATATAAGAAATATAAGCAATAGAGGATAATAATTACGTTTAGAATCTTGTGAATGACTAAGGATGAGATAGAAATCGATCGTCGAATAATTGATATTTAATCTGAGGATTAAATTGTTATCGAATAAACATCGAACAGCTTTTTCCATTTCTCTTAACACTGCCTGTGAAACATGTTATTCATAACATCCTTGTATTTACGTACACGTTCGAATTTATCGTCGTACGTGCACTGTTTACAGCAAACATTGCTTTTATTCCAGTAATGTAAAAGGAAAAAAACAGTTTGTTTTAAAACACATGCAGAGAATGAAAATATGGATTTGGAAAAATGAGTCGTAGACAAAGAATATGTAAAGTGTACACAAACAAAATACTATACATACAACACAATTTTGAAAAAATCAGGATAAAAACTTAAAACACTAAAAAAACAATTGCTTAAATGTATTTCTTTGATTGTTAATTAAAAATCTTCACTTGTATAACGTAAAAATTAACACAACACTTTCTCGTGTGACCTTAATGTAAAACCGCCAAAATGTCTTAGATGTCGCTATAATCGCATATTTCTCGATAAGGATCGTTCTCAATCGAAATCGATGCGAATCGATCATATCCATGCATGCTTCCCGTGCTCCTCTCTGCTCGATAACCAATGGAAAAAAATCTGGAATTCCCAGTGGGTGGACCAGTTCTTCGTCCCCGAAGATATCCGATCGTGGCGATCCTTTCACGTTGTACGCATGAAACTCGTTCGTTCTGGCGAATGTATGTATGCAGTTGCAAAAATCATATCATTCTATTATCGATCGATTTATCGAGTTTTAAATTCAAAAAATTCTACGAATATATATGTATAAGTAATAACAATTAAATTTCTTAAAAAATTATAGATACTTTTTCTTAATAATTATTCAATTTTTTTTTAATTGAATGTTTTTAATTGAATGTGAGACAAAAAAAATATGACACAATTTTTGATTCGATTCTTGAGAAAATTATGAACGAAGAATTAGACTTCGATAAGGAAATCTATATTCTTTCATATATTTCACGTTATATTTCTATACTAATCATTCATGGAAGTACATAATTCTTCTTGTATCAGCTTTCCTGATATTATATCTCTCAATGGTAATAAAACACTAGTTACGAATCATATTACGTATTCATTTGCAAATCAAACAAAACAGTCTACATGTTATGATTATTTTGTTTCCAACTACTTCGAAAAATAAACCAATTTTTCTCGATCGACGGGCAGGGAAACACGTCGTTCTATGATTTAGATTTCTTTTATTTCCGAAGCTTTGTATGCACATATAACGATCAACGGTGTAACAATACTATCTCTGCCGATCGCAATCAAGAAACTCTCTTTTTTTCTCTAATTCTCTCTTTCTCTCTCCCTCTTTCTCTCTTTTTCTCTTTCGTACGTGCACGCGTCCACATTTTTCCTCTCTCTCTCTCTCTCTTTGATAAAGTCAAACACCCATTCCCTCAATTCCTTTATTATATATTTCCTAATTTCTTGCGCATTATGCAAAGTGAATAATCGGTATCTCCACTGTGGAAATACATCTCGTTACACACGTAATTTTGTAATCGAGCAACGAGTCTTGCTCTATGAAAATCGTCGTGGAGACCGCTCGCTCGAACATAAGTTCGAGAAGAACGCTCGTATAATACTGTTTTGGTTTCGCCTTCGAATGAAACACATCGCATTATATTATCGAATATTTCTAACAACGTCGTTCCTCGACATCGAAATAATAAGAGACGATTCTTAGCGAATTTTATTATTATTATTTTTTAGTCTCTTCATTTTTTTTTTTCTTTTAAACGCGACATTGATAGATTAGAAATTATCTCCTTTAGATTTTTTTCCTCAAATTTTCGTAGAATTTTCTTTTCTCGTAGAATTAGAGATGAAGCGTAGAGAAGTATAATAAAGTTTCTCTTGGAAGATAGAAATCGTTCCTTAAAAACGAAGATCTTAAAAGTTTTAATCTAAGAATCTTTGTTGCGTTTTATGAAGGTCGTTGGGTCTCGTATACACTGACGAGCAGTAATTAATATTGATGATTATTTAATAGATATTGTAATTAATACTCCCTGCAAATGGCGATGATACACTTATTTTTCCAAAGGTAAAAAATTTCAGGATAAATATCATCTATAATATAAGTTACAGATTATTATACACTTCGTCAAAAGAATATTTATGGAATATATTACATTTTTTAAACTATGAGCTCTTCACTCGTCAGTCTACACGTATCCTTACGATTCTAAGCGTTCTCATTTAAAGACACTACTAAAAAGTATGCTAGTCCACCTTTCAAATTCTCGAGAACGAACCATGAAATATATGCGTGCAATCGACGAATCGCTCGATACAGTGTGACCTATAAAAAATCTATGTCTTTCTCGAGCATATAGTAAAGCATCGATTCGATGATGATTACGAAGGAAGCTGCTAAGAGAACGTCGAAAACGAACCATCTTTTTTTTTTCTTTTTCTTTTTTACGATGTACAAACTCTTCCAGGCAGGAAGAGGCTTTAGCCTGAATTTATATTACATAAATAATACATATGTAATATTATTTATATTACATATATAAGTATCGTTTACATTATAAACACGCTAAATACCTGAGAGAAACGTGATCACGAGCGTATGTCGACCGATTATCGTTGACATTATTTCCATTACTTTTACAAAGATATAGAATGCCAAACGTTTTCGTTGCTGGTCGACTATATAATTCACTACGTTCTCACGATAGAAATATTATATATATCGAAAATTTCGATGATATTCTTATGCGATAAGAGCGGTGTAATCGGTAAAAAAGTAAACGCTCAAAGAGACATCGATTATGGAATTTGTTTGTCGTCGAGTTTATGGAAAATCTTAACATCGATCTATTGCACGAAAAATCTATAAATCTGATTTATCGATGAGATGAATTTCGTCGAATAATGTCTGTTTTTTTTTTTTTTTGCATCGTCGATAAATTGTACAATTTATTTCATATTCAGATTGTATAATATAGATGAGATGAATAAACGAGATAATACTTTATTACTTTGTAAATGACGCATGTACCATTAATTGTCGAATCGAGAAAGATGATAATACAGTGATACAATAGTGCTCCATTTATCCAAATTATATTTATTCGAAATGAACGAAAAATGATAGTAAAAAAAAAATTGGCAAACTTTCATCAACTTATCATATGAAATCCTACGTATCCAATATAACCTATTTGACTCTCGATAGGTTCAGATAAATGACGCATTCTAACGTATCTACTATGTTTCTTATTTTCCAGTCGGTATAATCTACCTCGAAAGTGAAGTTGTAAAGTTATATTAGCGTTATATTGAATACCTTTCTTCTGTTCTGTCCATTTGTATATTTATTTAATTGGTGAATAAAAAAATATTATTAATATTAAATATCGCGGGAGAATACACTTCATGCCACTGGTAACGCCTCTATAATCGCGAACACGGCGCCTATGTCCTACTAACGAATGCAGATCGTATTGTACAAAGTCAGTCGCTGCTCGGGAATGGTAAAAGACGGTGTCACCGATGATTTATGTCACGTTACCGCATTATACGTACATGCTTACGAAGCTATTCTTTAAAAATGTAAATCTTTTACTCTCCCCTCACTCTCATAGTCTTAATCACAAGAGGAGGAAGCGGCGAGGAACGTGTGTACTGTCCAATTTCAAAAGGCGATACATTATTTTAAGTATACTTTCTAATTTTACGTTCTAACGGATTCTTTCTTTCTCTCTTTCATTCTTTTCATAGAAAGAAAAGCTGTATACCGGAGGATACTTTCAAAATAACCCATCAAACGTACGATGTTACCGTGTGGAAAAAAACCGACATAACCTCTCAAGTATATTCTACGTAATAAAAATTGCTTCCAGGCATGTCACATAACCAATTATGAGATCAAAGTAAGTCTCAGTGGATTATAAGAAATATATTTTATACAGAATGAAGATTCAAAATAATTCCAAATAATTTCGATCCCGTTATTAGTCGCGAAACATGCGTTGAGGCAAATCTTATTGTATAGATATTACACTGTAAAAGTATTTCAATATATGAATTCATTTGTATTCAGGTTATGAATTCATTTTAAAATAAATTCTCAAGAGTTTGCTATTGAGAATACTTTTTGCAAGTAAGAAAACTGCATTGACAACATTCTAAAGTAACTTTCACAATGTCCATTTGTCAAAAATAATTCTCGAGAACAATTTTAGAGTTTTTTTTACTTTCAAATGAATTCAAACAAAATCTTAACAAAATATCACTTCGTGTTCTCGATAGTTATTTCAATGCTGTGAACGTTTTACTTAACGAAATCACGTGCAATTTGTGCTCGAACAATGTTCCATCAAGAACAAAGGTATTTCGATTTCTCTTCTGGATCAGTTGTCTTTATTTCCTATTCTAAATACGCTTAACCGCACGTCATGATAAAGGAAAGGAACGTACCATTTATGTCTCTCGCTGAACTCTCGATCAAATGGCGAATTACGGTTAATGAACGTATGAATCAAAGCGAATTGTGCGCGGTTACGGAATCGCGATTACATTTAAGGTCAGCTCTTGCGTTGGGAGTAGTTTTCAATCAGTCAGCTTAATTCCACGCTTGGAATTCGATTTTCACGCATGCCGGGGAAACTCGGTGCGATTCGAGGTCGAAGTGGGTTTGTATTTATGTATGTATTTATGTATGTATACGTGTATGTTCGAGCACGTACGTTTATTAAGGTATTTTGTTGAAAGATGCTGCGCCGTAAATTTTGTAAGCAGATTCTGACATCGTGTTGCAATACGAAAAGCATAAGACTGTATGTGAATAATAAAATATGTATATTAATGTAATATACAATAAATATTTGTAAAATTAAAGCGTAATAATGTTCGATGACCATCCTCCTTTAATCGCTCTACGATTTTTCTATATTTTTTTTTCTTTCTAATTAATGATATGTAAAAAATACAAGGAGCATGAATTTTAAACCAACGTTCCTGTGTCTCTCACGTCGTCTAACCTCTCCATAACAGTGAGAACGTACGAATAATAAAATTGATGAGAAGATCCCAGATAGCAATCGATGCTTTAAAGATATTCACATAATTATCTTCAAGGATATTAGTATAAGATTGAACTTAAGAATATCTTATAAATATAATTATTCTTATGCTAATATATGCAATTGAAAAAAAAAATTGCTTTGTAATTTTTTTTTTAAAATGTTTTTCCAAAAAAAACGTTTCTTTGCTGTCTGAGATACGAGCGCGAGTAGAAATGGCTGGAGGGTGAGACGGACTAAATAAACAAAATCAAGTGTACAAATAAATATAAAACGTATATTTAAATTAAATGCCACAAAGTATCTTGTTGTATGTTCTTGCGTCATGAACGAAGTCAGAGCTGTACTAGATTTTTTTTCTTCCGCCTCATTTACTTCTTCTTTTCATATTCTTTCCCTCCACGTGAAATTACAGTGCTCTGAGACGACGAACGAACGTATTATCTATGTATACACACGCGCCATTTTATACGCGGAATAACGGAAAAAAAAAAAAGCAGAATCGTACTTTCTGTCGCTTCGAACGCGTACCGCGAATGCTTTCGGAACCGGAAGCAAACAATTCATGCGAATCGACTCCACAATTCTTTCTCTCTCTTTCATTCTTTCTCTCTCATTCTCTTCCTTTTTGTTTCTTTTCTCTCTCTCTCTCTCTCTCTTTCTCTCTTCCTCTCTCTCTTTCTATTAAACTCTAAAAATAAAAGAGGAAACTTTGCAACGATATGCAAAGCCAACGGAAAAAATTTTTTTTTTCCTTTTCCCCTTTTTCCTCTTTAAAACGGTCGATTCTCTAACACACTGCAAACATACAATTCTTTTCTTCCTCGTTTTAAGCGTACTCAGTCTTATGCGAGCCACGAAATGTCTGGTGCACCACAGTTTCACGCGGGTTCGTTAAATCGTAGCGAATCTGACGAGTAAAACGAAAATACTAGACGCGTGATCCGGACTGACGAGTTCTATTTAACGAAAAAAAAGGAAAGAGCAAGAAAAAAGAATACAAATTAAATTAGTCGAAACGATCGATCGAACGTTAGGAAGGTCGTGTTTCTATATCATCTAAGGAAACAGCAATAACAAAATGTATAAGCGATAAAGAGAATGCTCAAATTGAAAACGAATATTATTATAACGAGTGATTTTCTCCCGTGATTTTTTCTTTTTCTTCTTTTTTTTTCTTTTTCTTTTTTTTTTTTTATTGGATACGTAAGCGTAAACGAGAAGTTAGATAATACGCAGGAAATAATAGCATCGATAGAAAATCTATCGCGCTTCGTATCCACGTCGCGTTTAAACTCGCGAGAATCGAGTTGCGGATAATTCGTACGAGACGAAAGTGTTCCTCTTGAACGTGTCTCTTAACGTTTATATCATGATAAACAATGAAATTAGTATTATTGCTGTGCATTCGCTTAATCGTGGACTATGTATTATTGCTTTGCGAGATTTTTCCATTTTCTTTTTTTTTTCTTTTTTTTTTTTTTTTTTTTTAATCTTTCCTTTCGAACGATCACGAACCACACTTTCGAACGATCGTGATCATTTCTTCATTTTCTTTGCAAAAAAACGATAAGAAATAATCTTATCGATTGTCTACGATGGATAGCGATTTTTTTTCTTTCTGTTTCTTTCCTCTGTTTGTTTGTGTTGTTGTTTTTTTTTTGTTCGACGTACAGCGTTTAAGGGTTGTTGATTATTGTTTTTTTTCTTCTTTTTCTTTTTTTTCTTTTTTTGTATGTCTGTCGTTTTAATCGGTATTATTTACAACCTCGGACCGCTCGAAACTTACTCGAAGCTCGCGCGCGAAATAACATCGATCGATGAACACTAACGTGTGGTACGTAGTAGATACTATAGTTGGTAGTAGTAATAGTCTAAAAAAGATCATACACATATTTCGCGCATGCACGCAGCATTTCGTGCGCTACAAGCATGCACAGGGCACTTGTTATGTACAGGAGATATTCACACGCTATACGTACACGTGTACATCGTTAAATATACGGTCTACGTAAGATTTTTCTCGAATATACAGCGTTTAAGGTACACTCGGAAACGAGCGGTTAACAGCATTCGACGCCTGTAAATTTTTTACTACGATTTTTTCTCTCTTCAATTTTCTCTTTCTCTCTCTCTCTCTCTCTCTCGTTCGCTCGCTCGCTCGCTCTCTCTCTCTCCTCAATAGAATTATTTTTATATACATATAGATTTATATATGTATATATATAATATATACTTATATAGATTTTTTTTTCGATACCATAGGTACATGTAATTGCTTACGCGATTTATGTACAAATTATCACGGTTTCAGGTAGCCGAGAAGATCAGTAATTAAACGAAAACGAAATCCAGCCATGTCGATCCGTCAATCTCATATTTTTTTCCATTCGCGCGTATTCGAATGATAATTTATTGCTATCGGTACTTTTTTTTTTTTTTTAATTTTCTATTCTTCTCTTCAATTTTATTTTTCAATAATATATTCGATGTTCAATCGATGAATCTCGCTCGAGAATTATTATTTCTTTGCAAGAAACACGCTGCTACTCGCTACTATGGTCGCTAATGAATCCTTTAAGGCGAAATTTATGGCTATAATCGTAAGGCGATGCAAGTCGTTTATACGGTCGATGAAGAAATCGTGGTGTAGCTTGCAAACGAGCGAACGCATCGATCGATCATCGTCCAAGTTCGATTTATATCGAACAGAACAATAGCGGTCCGATATGACTGTTCTCGTTTTCGAATAATAGCGGTAATAATAACATCGCTGGCATTATTAATTTATACTGCGCGGTAACGAAAAAAAATCAACGTCCCTTCGTCGGCTCGACATGACGTGCCATCCACGTCTTTTCTTCTCTATCCCTTAGACTAATTTCTCTCTCCATACTCATTTTCTATTTTTCTCTATCTACTGATAATTATTATTATTATATCCCCTCCCTTCCCTTTTGTTTCATCCTTTCTTTTTTTTTTTTNTTTTTTTTTTTCCATTTTTCTTGCTACGTTCATCGATAAAACGAAATGTTACAATTTATCGAATTAACGACGCCATACACACGGAAAAGCGGAAACGAAACAGTACCTCTTTCAACGCTTAAAAACACAATGCACGGAGCGAATTTAATTTTTCTAAGCGGCAAACAATTATAATCGAACTAAGCGCAAATTTATAACGTTCCTTCTTCCCAATTTTTTTCCTTTTTTCGAAGATCGACGGTGATCGAACAATCATTCGTTCCTACTTACTTCATCTCTTCTCTCTTTATTTCATCTTCTATCATTTGGCCGCCTATCTCACTTCTCTCTTTCATTAACGCGTACGCACGATTTAGAATAATCTTGACTAATCAGTTAAATATCACAATCTATGATAAGAAGTTCATAAATATATGTATATATATGTATATATGTATATATACACACATATATATATATATGCATAAATATATGTCAGCAGTCACGCCATGCTGGAAAAACCGACACAGCGTCGCAAATTAGAACCGACACAGTTTTACAAAAATAAATTGTCTCGGATGTGTTAATGTGTGATGGTGGTGTGAACGTTACCTACTATATACTCGGGACAATGTGTACGGCTTGCTATATTCGTTTGTCAAAAAATTCATCGAATTTCCTCCTAAATTTTTTATCAACTTACACTAGAAGAAGAAGAAGAAGAAGAAGAAGAAGAAGAAGAAGAAGAAGAAGAAGCTAATTTTATCTAAACGAAATTTTCGCTGTAAGTGTTGCTATCATTGCTTCGAACAAAACGATATTTCTTTACCAATAATAGAACATACCAATTAGAATTTTCAATAATTTTTCAGAAATAATGGCATTAAACGAGTCATTGTTTAACGCATTCTATGATACGTACACGATTATACGTAAACAAAATCGTCGTAGAAAAAGCGAAAGAAAACTAGAAGAAGAAGAAGAAGAAGAAAAAGAAGAAGAAGAAGAAGAAGAAGAAGAAGAAGAAATAGAACGGAAAAGAAGAAAACGGAGAACAACGATACGTGATGAGGTTGTAGGTGTATGTGTATATGTATATACGTAAAAAGAGATCGTGATAAAAAAAATATATATATGTATATATGTATACTATGATCTATGTATGTACATGATGAGACCCTCTGTACGCGGACCGAATTTAATTGGAAAATAAGTTGAAGTTTCTACGCGCACGACAATTCGATGATCGGCCACTCATGGCTAACTACATTTACATATTATCTTATTAAACGTATTTACAGGAGGACAATGTCGTAAATCTGATTATTCTCTGGTAGATTGGTATTTACAAAAAAATTCCTGGCTGGTGTTTTTCACGTTTTTCGCAGAAAAAATGCGTGTCACTCAGCGGTGTATCTTCGAAAAGAAAGAAACCCAACGAACACTACTTACTCGTTTTAGCTACTCTTATTTAGCTATTCTTTTTTACTAAAACGTCGTTAAACGTCCTGTATAACGAAAAGAAAAAAAAAAAAAAAAAATAATAATCTTTTCTTTCTTTTTTGTTGGCTGGTCACGTGATCCTTTATCCTTTGCACAAACACGCATACACACGGGTTGACTAAAATTTCGATGTCGTTTCATTCCACTTGTTATCGTCGCTTCTCTCTTCTCGCTCGAAAAACCTCTACGGGCAAGCATGAATTTTGACTCGTTCGTTTTTCCTTTTTTTTCTTCTTTCTTTCTTTTTTTTTTTTTTTTAAACCTCGTTTTCACTTTGATGTCTTTCTTTTTTCTCTTTCTCTATTTTTTCCTCCCTTTGCTCTCCATTTATCTTTCCTTCAAACGAGTCGCGTTACGACGAAACGCAGCAACCAGAGTCCGAATCTCCTATCCCTTCCGATCCTGCATCGAGAGAGATTTGCAACGATTTTCGGTAAAAAAAATTGATTTCGCGGACAAAGAATAGTGTATATCAGTCGATGTCCTAATACCTACCTACTGCCAATATAATTATAACGCTTGAAAAAGGGGCTAGCATCGATATTGTTGCACAACTCGATGATCCCGATTCGCTTTTCCGTGAAAAATATATAAAATCGGAACAGAAGCATCGTTACGAGATTAAAAAAATGCTATTTTATTTTGCATTGTAGCCTCTTGGAGCGAACAGTTCAAGGGGGAATAACGATAATATTCCGGGAATGTTTTGCAACGATAATCGTGAATTTGATGAATCGCGTTCGCGATTACTTTTATTATATTGATTTCTCGCGTTGATCTATTTTCGTAAACAGTTTCGTAAACAAGCAAGTATCGAAAGAAAGATAAGAAATTAAAAAAAAAATCTGGAACGTGCTTCTGTTTCTGTTTCTGGGAAACCCTGCGACTTTTTCCAGTTTTACGCGTATATCCTCTAAAGTGAGCGATCCAATAATGCGATTAACATGCCTACGAACGTGTGACGATGGTGGTGATTCTTTCTAAGAAAACGATCATCGGCTGGCAGAATATAGACGACGCGCGGTACAAAAAAAAAGGATCATTGTTGTTGTTATCGCATTCCTGCCCGAGATTACTCGTTCCGGTAGACAGAATAAGCATGCAAAACATCGTACCCATCTTGTTTTTCCACGTATGCGAAATTGCTCGCGTACGTTGTTCCCACCGTGCGCATGCTCATCACATCGAGGCTTCACCGAACATCAAGACTTTGTCCCATTCTCGACAGGCTTCAGACCTTTAGACCATCAACGACGGCGACGAGGACGACCATGAAAAAAAGGATCTCGAAAAAAATAGGAGGTAGACAAACGCCCATGGCGTACGGTCCTCAGCCTGGAGTGGGTGGGGTCTTATGTCAGTGAATATTAAAGTTATACTGCTTACGGGTGGACGAAATACGAAGCCATCGGCTAACAGCCAATGGCTCCGGGTGACAGTTCGACCAAGATATGTCCCCGAAATGAGGATAGGGAGAGGAGGTTGTCGTAGCCTCGACCTGTATCGCAGTGGACAAGTCCTGTTGATGGTACTCGTGTTTGATCCTCTTCGACTGTCGTTGAGTAACGGGACTCGCACGAGTCGCGTGGTTCAGTCTCTTTCCGTTGATCTGTGTCGCGTGTTGCTGCTCCAATTGTTCCAGTTGCTCGAGCTGGTCCATCGGTTCGAACAGCAAACTGGGCATAGACGATATAGGAGAATGGGCGATATTGTTCGAACGTGGTAGCTCGACCAGTAACTTCGATTTATCCTTGTAAACGGGGGAATAGATGGTCATCGCCGCTTCCTGGTCGATGTCCATCGGTGTCTCAGCCTCGAGGACCGTCGTGACCAACGACGGTTGCGTACACGTGGCTGGCAGTGTTGCTGGCACAGGTATAGCTGGGGACGCTGTGCTCGGTATCAGCGTGGCGACCGACGACGATTCCTCGTTATTAGCCGGCAACGGTGATAGAGATGGCAACACCACGGATATCGGGGCCATCATCGAGCTCGATTGCGACGAACCGGTCGAATTCACTAGCGTCGACTCCAGGCTCCTCAGCTCCTCGTTGGCGAAGTCCTCTTCGAGCTTGGTCTAAAAAAGAGAAGCGTTGGCGACTCGCAATAAGAATCGTAGGGCCCATACGAGATGTGTTGGCGTTTAAGTGCCCAAAAGAAACCATGCCTTACAGGTTTAGTGGAGCCATGCGGGGCCAGACACCGATAAAGCAAATCAACAGCCTGCAATAACAAAAACAGAAAACAGGTATCAACCGACACCCTACTTGCGGACTACTGGTCGCAGCTGACTCGTCTGGGTCATCGATCGATCCATGTTTGTCAGCTACATTACTACTTTCTTTTTCTTCCATTTCTTTTCTCTCTTTTTCTAAACTTTTTTCTTTTCTTTTCTTTTCTTTTCTTTTCTTTTTTTTCTTAGCCTCGCTACGTTCCGTCTAGTGCGTCTTAAGAGATCTACGAAAGAGAATGATTTTCGGGTATCGATCGATACCTGATGCCTAACACCTTCTCGAAAACTTGGAAGGAACGAGTGAATTTTAATCGACGGGAAACCAGATTGTTATATCACCTACATCGAATCTAGTTTCTATTAAAAATACTTGCAAGCGATCGATATAACCGAGCACGACCAGCATTTATTTTTTTTTTAATTAAGATCGACATGATCTGTGGTCGTGACAACCCTGGAAGGATTCGTACATTTCTTAAAGACGCTGCGGAATTTTATTCCCAATGAAATATTTAACAGAAGAAAATTCAAAAATTTATTGAACTGCGAATCTTTATAGATTTTTCTTTCGAATTGAAGCATTCGAAGCCGTTGAAAATTTGCAAACTATTCTAAAAATTCGAAATTCTAGCTAATGTTCGCTCTAAAAAGATGTGCTAAATTTTTCGAGAATCAATATATTTCTCCCAAAAATGAAATATATAGAAAAAAAAAAGTGTTTGAAATAAAGAGGTTCGAAAGTGAATTTGAATAGATTAAAGAGAAAAAGATAAATTACTCCACTACTCGCTTGATTTCACCATATTTTATCAAAGGATAACGAGAAATGAAAGTTTTATTGTATCCATCAAATATCAAATATCGGGTCATGCGTAAATATTTATAAATATTTATAAATATTTATAAATATTTATAAATAAAAAAAAAAACAAATTTTAATTAAAGAATTTTTAGTCATTGAAGCAAATTTTCTTCAAAGCTTTGAAAATTCTTGATAAACGATACAAACAATGTTCCTAACGATACATTCACGATCACACGACGATCACAGAGATATCTCAAATAGAAATATGAAAGAAAAAAACAACAATTTTTGAACACCAATGAAAAATCAATTTTTTTTTCAACTCAACAAAACAACTTTCATTTCCAGTCAACCAAACCAAAGAATACAAAAATACTTTAAATTTCTCTTCTAATAATTATATACATCTTTCCCCCAAAAAAATCACCATTTACAAGATATGATCGACAAAATACAATAAATAGTGATACTAATTTATACATATATGTATAAAAAAAGAAAAACTAACAATAACAAAACAAGAGGACGTCGCAGCACGAAGGATCATCACACCGTACACTGTGTTACCAAGAATATGTATATATACCACAGAAGAAAAATCGAAGAATAAAAAAAAAAAAAAAAAAAAAAAAAANAAAAAAAAAAAAAAAAAAAGAACAAAGAGATACAATAATATCGATACGGTAATTCCTTACCTTTGGCAGTGGATACGTGTCTGGCAGCGATAGAACGGGTGGCGAGCTGGGTGCTTCCGTTTCGATGGTCAAGGTGGGAGTGGTAGGTGTTAAGGGGTTCAAGCTCGAAGTCGCGGAAGATACGGTCACCGTACCGGTCACGGTCACTTTTGTCGGCCTATTCGGGACATCTTTTGAGGCACGATGCTCCGCGAGGAGTTTGTCAAAAGTTTTACTCCGACCGACGACCGTCCGGCGCAACGAGACCGTGTGCGCTTTGCACGTGAGCGACCTGGTGCAAGGTTTGCCGGTTTCCTCGTTCCACACTCCGCAATGCCTGTCCGGATCGTATTCCCGATCCTTGAGCAACGATCGGTCAGTTTTGAGTCTCTTCCGGCGAGGTTGACCCGTCGCCGTACCCGGACTTTTCACTGGGCTCGAAGCGATCACCGATCCTGAGCCGGAGTTCGATGTCTGAACAGACGATGGTAATGACTCAAGGGGTGATCGAGGCGACGAGGGGACCGATATTGACGTAGATGACAAGCTCGTTGAGATAGTAGGTTGTTCCGTGTTCCGTTTCACATTCGCGTGATTGATCTTATTGCTCCCGCTACTCGAGATCTGCGGCGATGACTGCGTCTTTTTCAATTTCGACACTTTGCAATAAGGTGTCTTCAAAGGAGTTTTTACAATTGGGGTAGAAGGAGGTGGAAAATTGACCGTGCCGGAAGGATGGCGACTTTCTGTGGCAAAATATAAACAACGTTTAATATAGAGTTGATAATAAATACAAGATATACTTGACCCAGAAATGTGAGCTGTATGTACGTTACAATTATATCTAATTAAAAAAAATATAATATTTGAATATTATGTTGATGAAAAAGATAACTAAGAATCATTTGTATTCTTTATATTATTTACAATTAAAATTATTTCATTATTTAATAAATATAATAGATTTTATTTGGAAATATAACGAATAGAATGAATAGAATGAGAAACATAACGTACCCATATGTTGAATAAGAGCCTGTGGTTTGACTATTGCATGGCAGGTTTCACACACTACCGTGTAAAAAGTATCTCTTTCGGGACAAAATCCATATAAATCAATATCTGAAATAAAAATTATTTTATTAAAAAAAAGGGCAATATTTTAATTCTCGAGGCTTATATTGAATCAAAATATTATAAAGTATAGATTATAAAATATTATTTACCTTCTGCTGAGAGCCGTGTAACTGAGCTAGAGAGTTGAGCATCTGGTTCTTCATCGCCTGAAACAAATCAAGTTTTTTTATGGAATATATAATAAAGTAATCAGTATAGGCTACAAGGACATTTCAATAGCAAATCATTTACTTATGTACGATTAATATATAATGAAGATAAATATTTCAAGAGAAAATATAAAAGTATTCTTATACTTAAGTATAAAATTCAAGATCATTATATTATAATTATAATTACCATGTTAAGAAAGATTACAACAAATCAAAAAATATTGTTAGCTTCATGTCTATTGAATCTTGTCCTTAAAAGATCTTTTTTCATTCATTTCCATCAGTTTCTAAGCAGAAATGTGAAATAAAAAACACAAACTTCTGGGTAAACAACTTTTATTATGTATACATTTCATACATGCATAATTCTTTCAACAAAAAATCTTATAAGAGAGAGAGAGCATAAATATAAAAATACAAATGTACAATATCGTTTGAACAAGATCTACCGAATAGCACGATTCGATTAAGATCGTTTCGCGAAATTTTTATGATCCATGCCAATATACTATATGCTCTAAAGCTAAAGTTTCGACGCTCCGTATTTCACAGTCAGTTTCGCTATAAATTACATAATTGTCAGTGAAAAGGGCCGTTAAAATACGCGTGATGTTGCGAAAAAATATCAACCATGAAGCGCACTGGACAATTGTTGACAACCGTTTTAAATAAATGCATGTGATGGGCCCTAATGATGCCCTGCGTCAAGTCGACGGACAAAGGAGCATCGAAGTTGAGGTTAGGTACACGAGCTAGACGCTTGTCGTTGTCGCAGTTTTAAAGCAGCGACAGCAAACGAACGAACATTTCGATGAGATTCAGCGCACTTACTCAACGGCTTGTCTCGTCCGATTCTTTCGATCCAGCTGGACCAGGGCTGGCCGTGAAAGAATGTTGGGCTGTCACTTCCCGACATTGCCAGTGGCGCTCGCGTTGTGAATGAAACACGATGCGATTTCTCGTGTATATAGCGAGGCGAAAGTGTTTTGGGGCCGGGCCGCGTGGACTGTCAGGTACGGCGGATGTACAGTCTATCTTTTTCTTAACACGACAATTCTTCGAATACATTTGCTCGTAGAGTATACGTGTTCTTTAATATATAAAAAACAACCTATCGAACGAAAGTTTTGACTGGCATGTCTCTGTCGGGTAACATCTTTCACAGACCGATATTGTATCACTTCTCTCGCGTTTGTACACCCGAATACGAGTAGCACGCTTCGGCGTACACCACGCACATAGGGTTATTACTGAGATCCAAGCGCTTGCATTGGACGGACTGACGTGACGTCATGGACGTATAGTCGGCTACTCGTGCGCAACTTACACGATCCAATCAGATGCTTGGATTTCTATCCTGTCCTGTCTCGTCGTGATATCTTATTGGTGATTGTGGCTTGCTCAGCAGGTGGATTAGAAATTTAAAGTTTTTCAAGTATTTTATCTACTTTAATTAATTTCTTTTTATTGTTTATAAAAAAAATGTAAATTAATTTCAAAAATGAAATTAAACATTCTTTTCTTTCTTTAAGAAATTAAACACTTTTTTTCTTTCCATAAAATAACATTTCTTCGTTGATATAAATATTACGTGATAACGATTTGAAGTTCTTATATTTTTATTTTAATTATCGTAATCATCGAATCATTCGATATTGAATTTTATATCGATAAAATAACTATATCAGTGATCGATTAAATCTTACGCAAGAAAGTTTTCAATTTGACTAGCAAAACGTTGATGATGTTTGTCGATTTGAATTAAACATAGAATAAAATTAAAATTTTAAACTTTTTTTTATCCTGCAAAAAATGATCTTTGATTCGGTTCCGTTTGAACTAATTGAGCTCTATTTTTTGAATCACCACGATGTTCTTGAATCTGTTTCCAATTGATGTACCAGAACGGTTGTTTTTCTCTTGGCCAGGTTTTAATCCGATTTATTAAGTCAACATTTCCCAAAGCATCGACTGGCAAATCTGGTGGAATCGTTGATGTCGAAGTTGTAATAACAGGAGCTGCTCCTAATGCTATTGAATCGCTACTGCTAGCACCAAGTCGACTTGCAATTGTTTCTTTATTAATATTATTAATTGCTCCCTGTTCTTCCAAATATTGTGGAAGAACACTCGGATAAGGTTTACTGTTTCCGGCAAAAGGTGGTCTCTGTGATTGTACGGAAATAAAAATGGTGTATAAAATTACTACGTATTTTATCTGTAACAACACATTTGAAAAAAGATTATTGGTTAAATATATAATACATCGTTACACAAATTTAACTGCATTTGCAATAAATGATTGTTATAACCTAACATTTTACAAAAATAAATCAACTTGTTCTTGATTATATCTTTTATTTTTATTCATCGAAAGAATATTAATTTATTTTTTAAGAAAAATATATATACATTGGAAAATTAATGTAAAGATTTAAAAAATAATATTTCCTTTGATCTCTTATTAATTTTATAAGAAGAAAGTTTTATAATTTACTCACCATATTGCACGTGGATAGTATGTTATTTAAAATACAGAAATGTAATAAATTATACACGTTGGAAATATTTATGACGTTTTTTAACGAACTATTATAACTATTCGATTTCACTGTTCGAAACTAATCTATTCAAAGTGATGCTGACTGTTGTATATAAATCCGCAAACTGGATTCCCCACCATGAATACGATCGAGTCATACATCGATAGAAAATCATCATAACTTCCCGTATTCCAATTGCGTATGTACAATTTTTATGATATGAAATTTTTTATGTCATAGGGAAAAACTTTACTCAATGTCATCACTAATGCCTTTCTCCTTTTAGTCGAATGAAATCTTCCTTGATACGTATATTTTAAACCAATGAATCAATTTAGTAAAAACATTTTGGTTTAAAAGTGGTATAAAAGTACTTTTTAATTTCAAAATTAATTTCAAAACAGCAGGAGAAATAATTATAGAATATTATGGGATTAGTCATAATAAATTTTGTTTATATATTTGATTTACATAATATAAAATTAATGACCTTTTCTGAATAATTGCTATTATGTGTATATGATAGTATGTTAATGCTTATCTGATTCATTCATTCTAATGTTTCATTATTCATTTATATAATTTTATATTATAATTTTTATCCAATATTTATATACAAAGAAAATATAGAGACATTTCGAAAAATCTTGTTCATAAGAAAAAATTAATACGTCGAATTAAAATTATAATATTAATCGAATTTATAATATGATCTTCATAAGTTTTTTCTAAAATTTATCATATAGACATAATTCACGATTTTTCTACTTTTAAGCATAAAATATATTTTATTTTGTAAAATGAAATATATATGTATAAGTTAAATATTGTATTTATATATGTATGTACAAATATACGTACGTATTGTATTCTATTGAATAAGGAAATTATCTTGAAGAGACAATCTTTTCATTCGATAATATAAACAGAATGACAGAGAAAAAAACATACATATGTCAAAAGTTAAGAAAACTATATATATATATATATATATAAACATCGTATACGATTGGATACTTTGTTTATGTTTATAAATTTTCCAATTGATCAAAAACATTTCATTCAATATATACCATTAACGTTTATATATAATAAGACGTTTGTGAAAATACTATGGAAATTCCAGAATCATAAAATAATTCGTATAAGTTAATTCTCATAATTCGATTCTTCTTTGAATTCGTGGAATTTCTTTAATTTTCTGGTGATATACCATTGGCATGTATTGGTAAAAAATAGAGAAGGGATAATGATTTTTGTAGTCAGGGTCACATCTTGTTTTTCTTGATAGTTGGGATCCTCTGGCAATGATGCGATTTTTTTCCTCATCAATTATCAGCTTGAGATATCAAAAAGAATTATTCAACAATGATGAATAATTTTCATTTTTGTTAAAATGACAAAAATTAATTATTTTTCTACGATTAAGATTATTAATAAAAAGAGATAATTAAGATAATTAATAAAAAGAAAATTACGACAAAATCATTACATACTATTACAATTCATTCGTAGTGCACGATAAGAAACTGTTTAAATAGTAATATACAACTTACGGTTTATTAATTTATGGATTATTCTGGATACTTTGACATTCAAATTCATATTTATAATAATGTTAACTTTAATCAATTCTTAATATAAATATAAACCAAAGAGTGATTTCTATTGTTAAATAAGTAAACAGGTTATGATCAAGTTTAGCATCTTGCATCGCGAATCACTGTTGAATATATACGTTATTTTGTTTACAAATAGTTTATAAATTATTATTAATTAAAAAATAATAATAAATGTTTCTTTTTTGTAAGGAGAGGATACATACCTATCAATTTTTTATTTTTATCATTCAAATATAAGAATGATATATTAAATATTTTTTGTTAAGCATAATTATTCAGATTGAAAATTATTATTATTCCATAATATTCCACATCTAGTATAATTATTTCTAAGATAAATACACGAAAACATAATTTAAAATCTAAAATAATTTTTGTAAAAATTATATACAATAATATTATATATAATATATAACCTTTTGAAATATTTAAAAATTATGTACGTATCAAATTTATTACAAATTAAATATAATGTATGTAATATTTGTATTTTTTATATTAAAAATAAACGTACATTGTAATTTTAAAAGAAAAATGATGATAATATTCAATTGATATGTCTCGTCTATGATCACACGTTAAGAACAAGTATAGATAAAGAAAGAAATTAATAGGACAAGGATAAATATAGAATAAAAATTAGGAAATTAACGCCATCTCCAGAATGCCGCAAATAAAACACAAGGAGAATAAATAAAGAGAGTAAATAATAAGAGAAGTATAAAGATAGAATAAAAACTAACTTTTAGCGCCATCTTTTGAATGTGAATATATATATTTTTAAAAAAATATTTTTCGTACTCGAGAGATGGCGCTAATCTATAATTCTTACTCTACCTTATCCTGTTTTTGAAGAGATGTTTTCAGCATTTAAGAGATGGCACTGATGATCAATTCTTACCTTATCTCTATCCTTCTTTTATTTGCTATCCTTGTCTTTTTTGTGTTTCATTTGCGGCACTCTGGAGATGGCGCTGATTTCCTAATTTTTACACTATCTCTATCTTTGTTCTACTATTTTCTTTCTTTGTCTATTTGTTAGTTTCATTTACACCCTAGAGATGGCGTTAATTCTCGGATTTTTAAGCTATCTATCTGTCCTTTTCCAACTATTTGCTTTTCTCGTCTATATTCTATTCTACAAAATTAATGCGCTCAAAAGATGGCTTCGATATCTGATTAACTTTCATCTTCATTATCCATTACTTGTTGATTAAAAACCTTTAGCAATTCTATTAGTTATTATTGATTTTTGTATATTTATTTGTTTTTATTATTTTATTATTTTATTTATTTATTTTATACATTTATAAGAAAAATATAATCTTAACGCGGTATAAAAAATAATACTAATATTGTATTATAAAAAAATTGGAAAATTTAATTCAGCTTAACCAGTTAGAAAATAAATTAATTTTAAACAGACTGTGACATATGCTTAAAGAGACTAAACGAACTGAGGAAATTGAATCACTTAAGTACTAATCAGTTTTTTTGATATTTACAAAAAAGACCATCATTGTTTCGCCTATTATCGGTTTAGTTGTCGACGTCATTTAATTTAGTATTGCAAACGAGATCATTGCTGCTGATCAACGCGATAATGACAAAATTACTCTCTTTGTTCTACGAGATAAATGTCACTTTCAAGGTCTTTACCAACGGTATCCTTCAATTTTTCTTCAGCTTACATTTTCTAATTTTCTTCTCTAATTACTTTTGCTTTCACTCATTCTTCTCTTTTACTTGAAAATAATAAAAAAAAAAAAAAAAAAAAAAAGGAAAATAAAAAGATAAAACTAATAATATATAATCGAAAGTTCAAGCGACAATATTTAACGAAAAAATAAAATATTATCTCTACACCCTTTCCTTTCTCTTAAAAATTATTCAACATTATTTAAAACAATTTATTCCAATTCCAAATAATCAAAATATCTCGAGATCTAAATTCATCAGATTATTTCAACAATCTCTCACGCACATTAATTTCCCATTAATTATCGCGTGTTCACGTGAAATCATTAAATGAGAAATTCGACAAATAAACCCTTCAGAGATATCCCAAACTTTAAAAAACTTTTTGCAAACTTCAATTATTAATATACTCGATCCACTAATTACGTCTAACTATTTCCCTAATTTTATATACACAATATTGTACAATAATTTCTACATTTTAATATCTATCTCTTACTTTTATCTTTTATAATTTTATATAATTTTATATAATTCTATTTTCTAATATCTGTCAAATTCGCGAAGCAAGTTTTTGCCTGCATGTGGCACGACCAAGGCTACGAATATTACTCGTACTATAATATTTCAGTTTGAATGTGAAGATAATTCGTTCGAAGAAATTTGTTATCCGCGGAGATGCATCGAATCGCGCCCTAACCTATCTAGCCGAGATGACGACGTATAAAAACCTGTCAATCAAATCATCATCAAGGAGAGAAGAAATTAGTTTCGATCGAATCACGGCACGAACTTTTTATTCGAGTGGCGTTTCTCCTAGGTCAGTTAGATCCCTCGATTGCCCTCTTAATACACTCGTAGTCAATGATTCACGAAGGACGGGTCAAGCTAGTTGCAACGATGCGTTAACACCGTTTAAACCTCTCCCCGATTCGATTCGCCGCCGATTATGCAAAATTTCTTCGCGAGGATCGCTTCGTGCGACCTACTTTTCACCCTCTCGTCCTTTCTCGTGTTTCGAGAGCAAAAATCTGGAAAGGATTCATAGGTTCATAGACGCAATTCTTGTTCTTGGATAAGTATTCTTTCAGGGCTTCATCTATCGAAAAAATAAGTTCTTGGATAATTATTCTTTCGTTTCAGAGGGTCATCCACCAATTGATAAAAAAATGGATTCTTGGATTATTATTCCTTCGTTTCAAAGGGTCATCCACCAATCGATAAAAAAATGGATTCTTGGATTATTATTCCTTCGTTTTAGAAAGTCATCCACTAATCGATAAAAAAATGGATTTTTGGATAATTATTCTTTCATTTCGTCCACCAATTGACTATCAATGAAAAAATGGATTTTTGGATAATTATTCTTTCATTTCGTCCACCAATCGACTATCAATGAAAAAATGGATTCTTAGATAATTATTCCTTCGTTTCAGGGGAATCGTCCACCAATCGACTATCAATGGAAAAATGGATTCTTGAATTATTATTCTTTCGTTTCAGGAGGTTGTCCACCAATCGATAAAAAAATGGATTCTTGGATTATTATTCCTTCGTTTCAGAAGTTCCAATCATCTACCAATCGATTATCGATGGGAAAATAGAAATACAATTATTGATATTGTTTTGAACATGGAAGAAGATAAATATAAAAAAGTTCAAGTCTGTGCTGAAACGTCTAAGAAGCCACAGCAATGGCGTTTCGCCGAATTCACGACTGACACGTTCGATCAAAAAGCCGTCATCCTAGAAAAAATATGATTTTGGCAATCAGACATTCAAGATCTGCTTCGACGATCTGAGAATCGACAAGTACACGTTCGAGAAGAATAATAGATGGCCATAATTGATGAATTATTATAAATACGTACGTGTCATCTGCTGGCGAATCAGTTGAGCTTCCAGAGATAAGAAGGGATGAGAAGAACACGAGCATGGACGAGATTACAAGTTTCATGAAAGAAATTGGACAATCAGACGAGCAAGAAAGAGTTTCGATTTATCCTATGAAGTGATAGCTGCTGAACGAAGGATTATGAAATATACGAACTGTCTCGTTCCACATCCTATCTATAAATCTGGAAATAAAATGTTTGAATAAAATGTGGTTCTTGAGAAATCTATCGAGAAATTGATAAATGAGTTAATTGTTCTTTTTATAATTCGCTTACTTTATTTATATTTATCTTTGGTATCTTTATTTTGCAGCAAAAATCCACCAATTGCATTTAGTTTATTTGAAAAACTAACTCATTTTGAAGAGCGTAAATATATACTATACATACGATTCGAACAAATGATCCGTTTTGATCACGTTCGTTTAACGTTAGTCAATCGAGCATACGAGTTAAAAGACGCGTGGACAAAACTATACTGTTTACAAAACTATCGTCAACACGAAACTTAGACTTAGAATTTTAAACGATCATTAAGTTATAAACTAAAATTATTGTTTACTCGTAAGAAATTTGATTCTTTTTTTCTCTTTCTACTTTTCCTATATTATCAATCATATAACACAATGCTTCTTGGAAAAGAATTAACGTTTCAAATTAATACAGAATCTAGTTTCTCTCGTTGATCGAAGTTCCAAAAGCGAAAAGAGACACGTTCACCGTTCGAAAACTCCCCCTTCCCTCCAAAAACTCTTCGACTCTTCTACACGTCCAAAATCGCGTGGAAAAGTGTGCAAAAACTATACACAATCGTATTAAGAAATTTCGATGTTCGAAAACGCGGATCTATCTGAAACGCGGAATTTCCTTCCCATGTCTCGATGAAAAGAATGCGAAAAGAATGCGGAAAGAATGGAAAATGGGGAGGAGAAGAGTGGACGGTAACGCGTCTCGATACATCGGTCGTTGACACGCGAGGTAATTGACGGCCAGTTTCGTGTTAACGGGTCGCGGAGGGTCCCGTGATGACCCCGATTCACCGAACCACCGTATCAATTCTCTAAACCTATCACCACCGCCACCGTGCACCACACACACGCTTTATTTTCCAACTGGAAAGAGAGAGCAGGCTTCGGTAAATTGGAGCTTGCTAATCGTAAGAAGAGGTCAGTAGTGCAGTTTAGCCACGGTATAAGAGCGGCCCCAACACCGCTTTACCCCACTAAAGTAGTTGGAACGTTGCACGGTGCCACCATGAACGTAGTGCTGAACGTAGTGCCATTTTTCTTAGGTAAGCCACCGATCACAGGACCGAATCCGTCATTCCTTCCTTTTCCTTCCCGTCCGTATTCCCTTATTCCTCCCGCCCAAGCCCTCCACTCTCGAACTCGACACGGAACAACTATCGTCGATCCACCTCGTCGTCCATAACCTCGATCAATTAAATCCAATCTTCCCTCCATTTTATTCTCCCTTTATACTTCCCTGCTCTCCTCTCTCTTCTCTTCCTCAATATTTCATACAGATCGCGACTCGATCCGAAAACCTCCGAAAGCCTGCTCTCCTCCCTGGCCGGAAAGTCAAAACTATAAAGATCTATCGCGTCACGTGATACGAGAGAGGTATAATCCATTCGATTCCATTCGAACCAGCCCCAATCATTCAATCTCGCGTTCACGTGGGCGAGGCGGAGGGGGAAGAGATGCGATCGCCGCTGCGCGCGCAGTCCTTGTCCACTTCGAAGGAACGGAAAAACTGCGAGGACCGTGGAACGTGAACCGAAAACATGATCGTCCCGCGTTATTTCTTTCAGCCGCTCGTGTCTTCCTCGAAACCCCGTGGATGCACGGGCCCGAGTACACCTTCCACGTCCAAGTGAACTCGACCGCGATCCCGGAGGAAGGTAGCTACATAAGCATCAGGTTGAACGTCGCGTCTAAATTGGTGTGCCAACCGAAACGTTTCCACGTGTTGACCTGCCATTTTCGCGAGTCGAAGGCGGACAGTTACGTGACGGAGAGTTTGGACCCGGGTGCGCCGGCGATCCCCGTGAGCCAGGTGTCGAGGCAGGAGGCGTACGAGATCAATCAGGATCAGTTCGAGATCAGGTTCACGGAGCAGGGGTTGGACAGCCTAGTTGTGAACGAGAACGTGCAACCGAGGGAGTTGGACATGATTCGGGTGATCGTTGGACAATTGAACATAGGCGCTCTGGTAGGGGAGTACGATCGAACGTTCGAGCTGATGGAGAACTTCACACAGGGCGAATGCGTGACCATGTTCACCGTCGAACGTAACACAGTCGCCGGTTTGAGCCGCGCAGGTCGCAATTACATTCTGGAGACGGTGTTCGGGTTGAAAGACGGTCAATTGGTGGAGATCAGAAAGATAAGGAATCTTCACATGTGCACGCACAACGTGCCCTATTTCTTCGGGAGCGCGGAGGGTATGAAACAGATGAGCGACGTGGTGTCAACTGTCGTGAGTATATTCTTCGTTGCGTATTCTTCGATCGATTTTTTTTCTTTTTTCCTTTAAAACCGTTATTCGCAGAGCTCGTCAGAAAGTCACATAGCGATCACCTCGACCGAATTCATATCCGGGACCACGAACGTGATAACTACCAGCAAAGTGTCCGAGGGGATGGTTACGACCCTGTACGAGAACATAAGCGTGAGATTGGAATCGATATTGGCGGCGAGCAACGATCCACCGGAAGTGAAGGATCCGGAGCTGGCAAGCATGTTCATAGGTAGATGGCTGATGGAGAATTCGATGGAGGACGATGGAGACTCGTCGTCGTCGTTGGAGATTTGATTTGGAGGGCCTTGAATGATAATAAAATTCAAGTATACCACTATTGTTGTAAATAATATTGTAAGTGTGCATTTGTCGTTCGATTCTGTAAATAATAAAGCGCTCTTTCGTTTGTACAAATAAATTTTGTTTAAGTTCTTTCCTTCTAATCGAAACAGTGGATATACTCGGGAAGAATGCATCCATGAAATTTTTTTATTCGCGCGTAAGTAAATATTGTGGCATCGCGAGCAGTTATAAAGCGCTCCAGTCCATTCACCAACCACTTACTCCTACAAACTAAATATAGCTGTCAATTATTTCTTTCGAACGAATCGTGGCACTTTGGAGTAGATTAAATAATAGTTTGAATCGTCTTCGCTTTCGATTTAATCTTAGTCTTAATCTTAAAAAAGAAGAGATTGGAAAGTTGTGAGTTGAAAGTGATTTTTAATTGCGACTAGACTATATAATAATTCGATTCGAAGGAAGCAAGGATCTTATCTTATCGCGCATCTGTGAATCGATTGGCAATGAAGATACACGCGATACGTACACGGCGTTTAATTCAATCGGCATAAATGGTGTCATCGGTGTTCTCGAAACGAGGAAAACAATTAAATCCATTTCGTTACTCCTTTAAAATTTTACGCGAACCCGAGACACGCCACTTATTTAATCAAATCGTTTCATCGCTCGGCGCGATGATTGAGACATAAAAGTTAACGCCATATTCAAATTTCAAAGCAACTATTTTTTCCTCACAGTTTAAACTGCGTCGAAGAAGAATTTTACGTTAGACAAGGCCGTTGTTAAATTAATTTCGCGCAAAGTTTCGGAAAAAAATCGTTCAATTTTTGACATTTAATAATGAAAAACGGACTTGTGATCAAAAGTTATTATATTGTATTACATTGAATCGTCGAATGAATGAGAGATTCGATTCGATTTTGGCTTATCAATATATGGCTTATCATATAATAATAAAGGAGCAGAAAAAAATTTGCGAATAAAATAATTTGTAGAGCGAGTTATTTTTGTTGTTGTTCATATTTCTATAGATTTGACGTGACAGATTTATTTTTCTTTGAAAGAACTCAAAATGGTGTTCTATTTTTGAACGATTATCTCAAACACTTTTTAAATAGACTGAAATTTTGACAATTTCGATCTTGAAAATGATCTTTCATATGATTTTACAATGATCTTCTACCTTTACTGTCAAATGATTTTTCAAATGAGCTCGATCCTCGAGTCATTTTTCACCCTTGAAACACCCTTTAAGATGATCATAACATTCAAATTTTAATGCAATACAACGTGGAATTGAAACAAAAAAATCTATCGTTCGTTTTAGATTCGTTAAACATAGCTCGAGAACCGGGTTAAAATCTCGTCTAAAAGGCGAGTCTCGGCTAGAACGATCCGAGAACTGTTAGAAAATGATATCAGACACGTGAAACGATACGGAAGATGTCTGCAGGAACCACAATACGCACGGAAACGATCGTTAATGAAATTATTTTCAAGGAGATGGTAATGAATCAAGTTCAATCTGTCGTATAAAGAGAAGACAGATAGAACACGATCGCATCAGTCGTCTTAGCAGAAGCCTTCCAACATGTTGATAATCATTCTGCCATATCTATTGGGTATGTACCTGTGTGCTTTTCGTTTCTTCAACTTTCATTCCATGAATGAAACATTCATCGTATTCTATCTTTTTCAACGATATTTCATATACTTTTATACACTTTTCGTTATATATTTTATTTTTACACAAGGTAAAAATATTTCTTACGATGGATAATATCATCGATATATCGCAGATATTTATTATTTCTTTTTCTCCATTATTCCATCGTATATCTGGCTCGTTGTTCCAAGGATTTAATCGATTGTGATTAATATGGAATCTATTTTCACACGCATTTTTTAGCGTGATATTACATGTACTAATCATATGATTCAATACCTCTTCTAATTATAATAATTATATCTAATTATAATAATTCTAATTATAATAATTATAATAAATATCATGTCAGGATCGTCGACAAAGCGTCTAAAATGAAGATAAATCTTGTTTTAATGAAGAATCCCTCTTACTCCTGTATCGTCTCATCAGAGTTCTTTTCAACAGTGAACTTCGATAATATCCTTCAAAACCAGAGTTGGGCATTGACCCGTTGAAAAAATAAAAATCTAATTAAAAATCTAATTAAAAATCTCAAATAAAATTACTTTAAGTAACTACTTATTAAAATGCTTAAATAAGATTTATTCGTAGCTATTATAGTTGATCCGTTTTTCGTATAATCTTGGCCATTGTTTGCCATTTATTTCCAATTATTATTCTGTTTTGAATGATAAATTATATTGAAGTAACTTATCGAAGTAATTTTATTCGTAATTTCAACTATTAATTTTTACCCATCATTGTACAAACCATAATAATAATAATTGTAATACTAAACAAGGCTGAGATTACACAAAAAGCGGATCAATTATAATAATATAATATAAATGTTATTCAAACATTTTAACAAATAATTACTCGAAACGACTTTATTTTTAACTAACTACTTTTTCAATATAACTTAATATCTCTTCCCTCTGCTATGAAATAATAATTAGATTACACAAAAAGCGAATTAACTAATAAATATTCGAGCATTTTAACAAATAATTACTTGAAATAATTTTAACTGCTTTTTCAACGTAATACCTCCTCTCTTTGCTATGAAATAATAATTAAAATTACACGAAAAGTGGATCAACTACAAATAAATATTATTCGAGCATTTTAACAAATAATTATTCGAAGTAACTTTATTTTTAACTAGCTACTTTTTCAACTTAATAACTTAATATCCCTCTTCTGCTATGGAATAATAATTAGGTTACGCGAAAAGTGGACTAACTACGAATAAATATTATTCAACAAATATTATTTTAACAAATAATTATTCGAAACAACTTTATTTTTAACTAGCTACTTTTTCAACGTAACTTAATATCTCTCCCCTCTGCTATGAAATAATAATTAGAATTACACGAAAAGATGAACCACGAATAAATGTTATTCGAGCATTTCAACGAGTAATTACTACGTTTATTTTCAATTACTTACTCAATACCCTCCCTCTGCTCGGATCATCTTGCCACGTGTCATCCGTCTCCGTGTTTCAGCGGCACGCGTGCCCGGCCACGCGCACCACGACGATTCCGACTGGCAACGTTACGGCCCCGAATGCACTTACGACGTGTTGGTGAACATGTCCCTGTCCAATATCGTGCACGACGAGGACACGATCTGCTCCATGATCGCGTCCGAGCTCAAGTGTCGAACGAAAGGAAGCGACACGTTGAACTGCCATTTCTCGAACGGAAGGATAGTGAGACCGAATCCCGAGGACGAGAGATGCTCGAACGCGAGAAATTTCGTCCCGATGGGCGACAGATTCGTGGACGAGGAACCGTTCGAGATCAGGTTCAACGCGAGAGGTATAGAGAATCTGGTCGTGTCGAGGGATATAGCCAGGTGGAGGTTGGACATGGTGAGGGCGATTATCGGTCAGCTTAACGTTGGCTTCGAGTTAACGGCGGAGAAGGAGCACGATCGGTTCGTCACCATGGAGAACTCCAGCATCGGTTACTGCGAGGTGGAGGTGAAGGTGTCGAGGGCGGGATACGGGGAGGAGAGCGATGATGAGAGGAAGTTCGAGATCGTGTTGGAGCCCGAACGGGCAGGCATGGTGCCATTGAGCAGGGGAAGTATTCGAATCGAGAAGGTGAGATGGCCGAAGAGGTGCCCGAACAGGAAGATCTACTTCTTTGGAAATCACGAGGATTTTAGCTTTGGCAGGAGGGATATTTTCATGGACATGGTGAGGATTGGATCTATGCGTTTTTGGACAAATTTGTTATTATATTTCCATTTTTTTATATCTCGTTTTGTTCGCAGACCACGTCTGTCAGTCGTATATACATCTCGCGGAGGGGGATAATTTCGTTCACGGAGTCTACAGGCGTGATGAGAACGTTGAACAGACCTAGAACGATGAATTTGCATCAGAGGATCAATTTGTCTTTGAAAAGTTTAAATTTTGCCCGAATTCCAATCCCGGAAATCGTGAACCCAGCGTCTACTAGCTTGTACGCGTACACCAATTTGGAGCAAATTCCCGAGTACAAATGAACATTTGTCTTTAACAAATGAATTTGTAACACGAAATGTAAATGTTTAGCATTAAAAATTAATGCCTAATCTAAATGTCATTCAACGTGTCAAATAAATTGCTGCATAAATGTACAAATGATTACATTTTTAGTTGTATTGGAAATTTGAAGCGATGTAAACTAGTAATTTATGATGCTCGTGAAATCGTACGATATTTTCATATCGTATGTTAAGAGAGAAATTATATATTTTTGATCCCAAACGTTCCTAAATCCTGAAAGAAAAGATTAGCTCGTTTAAAAAGTTGATTAAAAATAAATATTAGAATTGTTCTCATAAAATTTAATATGAAAGAAATATTGATTAAGTAAAATAATTCTTTGAAAATTATTTTTCAAATGTTACCATTTAAATTAATGTTTATTTATACATTGAATAAACGATGTCGAATAAATTAACTAATTGTAAATCAAATAAATTCTGAATGAAATTTTTAAATTCTAATTCTAATAATTAATGAATGTTAGAATAAATACGATCGTCATAATTTTATTCAAATGTAATCAATGTAAATTATTTGTTGTTATATCGTTTTTTGTCTCTTCCAACAAAATAAATAAATACTCTTTCAAAAACAAGACAATAAATCAGATCCCTTTTCTGCATTGCTACATCAGTTTCCTTTTTAAAGATCAAATATTCACGGTAAAAAATCAGAGATGTTTCAATTTTCAGCAGTGTTATTGGCAAAAATTTAGCGAAACATCGTCTTTGTTTTACGGTTTGTTTTCACGATTTACGATCGAAATCGTAAAATCGAATAAGTTTGCACGTTTGAGGCGTTTGGACGAATGAATTAACAAAAAGCAGAAAAAATAATTTTCATTTGTATTTTTAAACTCCTTTCCAAAATTCTTCTTAATATTCTTTCATTGCTTTTCTTCTTAAAAAATTGAAAATTCTTAGAAAAACGCAATATTCCTCGTCATTGCGTCAATCAGTACTTAATTATCTCGTTTAAGATTAAAAAGGAAATAATCTATCATGATATATATATATATATGTACAATTGAAGTTCGAAAATTTGCAATTACGATAACTAGAAGAATTAACAAGCTTGCTTGTGACTAGCTTCCATTATTTCTATTATTTCGTTCCTTTTCCGTTTTATAAATTAACACTTCTAAGATCGATCAAAAGAATTCGTTCCGATTGAATTATTTATTTTCTCAAAACTGAAGAAGGAAACAGAGAGCAATCGATAGAATGTCAACTCGTTGTCAAAAGCGACATCAGTCAGTTAAACGTGGCTGGTTCGCGCCCTGAGAGAGCAGTTATATTCGACTGTCAAACGCACACGCAAAGTTCTCTTTGAAGTTAATGCATAACGCTTGCGTGCTGCAAAGCTTTATTATTCAGAGAATTCAGAGAAATACGTTTGCGACGTAAAACGTAGTATCGAGGTAAAAATTTTTATCTTTCATTTCTCGATTAAAATACGAGAAATACGAGAATAGAACGATCTGTCTTATAAGTCACGATATTAAAATATTATGAAAAATATTTGCGAAACAAGATTGCAAGATCGTTTCTGAAGATCAGGATTTCATGATCCGTTCGAGTCACTTCTAGAAAAATAAATAATGCAAACGAGGCAAAAGTGGCCTCTTTCATTAGCCACGTAACGAGTTTAATAGAATAACACTTCGGCAATACGAGCCATTCATAATACAAATTACGATCGTTGAAGTGTCAAATGGAACTTAATTCGACCAGTTCCTAGTTTCTCATGAATCATATTGTTAATCGAATAATTTTATTCCCGATCGAAATGAATCGGACAATCCTTTAATTTGACTGAAAATTAACTCGTCGCGTATTTGATTTGATCCAACGTCAAAATACACCTTGTCATTTTTTGTCAATTCTTGTAATGTTATACCGTTTCTTTCGTATTTTATTACAATCGAAAGAAAAAAAAAGAAAATTTTCACAGAAGGTAATGTAAAAGAAAAATTTATCGAAAGAATCTCTCCAATCGATGTAATATTTTTTATTCCTATATCATTATTGTTCGATCATTGCTCTCTACTCTTCGGACTAAAGTAAAAAATTGTACGTCATAATCATAATTTTTCAAATAAAATTCCTGACCGTCAATTCTAAAATTTTCCACTTCACGACGATTTCCCTGAAACCAACTCGTCTAATCGTCAAAGTGCAAAAGTTACAAAGTGATATACGAGCGTACACGTAACTTATACGTAATATATGTGCACATCAACTACGCCGCAGACAAGGATTACATCGAATTAACGGACGCAAGCGCGGTCCGAAGAAGCTAACTTCGTCACATGGTGTCCATTATTCTTTCCACAGTGGCCACTGCTATAAAGGAGGTTTCGACCGCAAGAAAGCCAATTCGGTTAGTTAAACACGCCGCATCAACATGAACTTCATATTAATCCCATTCTTTCTAGGTCGGTAAGCTAATTAATCCGAATAAATTAATTAAATTCTGCATTCTCTCCATCTTCTTTCGAAATCGCTTCAAAACAACTTTCTCTTTTCCAAAATTCTATTAGCAGATTACGCTTTTTTGTATTCCCTGTTAAACGAGAATTATAACCTCTAAAATTTAATTTCTTTTTCTCTCATCCAGCGGCCAATATTCTCGTGGATCGTCCAAACGAGTGGATTTTCGGCCCGGAATATGTGTTCCACGCGAATCTCACGTATCTGTTGTCCGCCGACGTTCTAGACGAGCCACTGTTGATCATAAACGTGACGACCACGATGAGATGTCGGCCGGAAATGATTGACAGGTTATACTGTCGTTTCGAGGACGTGGCAATAGCGGAAAAGCATTATCCCGAGACAAGCAGCATGGAATATTCCTTTTTGATCGAATTCAGCCCGCAGGGTATCGAAAATCTACGGTTTCCAACGGTGATCGAGGACGAACAATTGAACATCATACGAAGCATCGTGAAAGAATTGAGCGTTGGAACGGATCTGAGGGAAAATGTGAACTCGATGCCGGTATTCTTTGCGAGAGAGAGATACGCGTTGGGCGATTGCCCTACCTTGTTCAGCGTTTTCGAATACGACAAAGACGAGAACGTGGTTGCGCATGGCCAAACGAGGAACGGTGGAAGGGGAGAGGAGGAGGAGGAGGAGAAAAATTACGAATTAGAAATTCTGTCGTTGCCACGACGACGATCGAACTCTGTCGTCGTGATTGGGAAGACTATGGAGAGCAAGAGGTGTACGAAATTACAGGAACCGGTTGATGGAAAATCGGAATTGAACATTAAGATCGTACGTATCTGCGAGACAATTGTCGATTAGATATTTGTTCGTAACGGAGAAGGGAGACACGTACTACAACTGGCGCGTGGTTTATTTTGCAGAGCAAATCTACGAGCAAGATGCACGTGAGCGACGACACGTTCCGTAGTCGGACCGAGATGCACGTCAAGATGGTGAATCTAGCGGAGAGAGATTTTATCGTGAAGGATATATCATCCGTGGAGTTGGTGGACATAGAGCCTGCCAAAGAGCCGTTGCCATTTTTAAATTACGATTACGTCGTGAATCTACGTTTCAGAGAAGGAATGAAACACAATCTAGTGATATAAAGGTTGAAATAGAAGAATGCGATTTTGTTTTGAATAAAGAATATGAAAGTATACGGAGAAATAATGTATAGTATAGTTGTATGAAGTGATTCCACTTGAATATTAATATATGATTTGATAATAAAGGAAAGAAATAAATTTTTTAATATATGTATATACGGATAACGTGAATTGTGGTGTAAAAATTAATATCTAATATTTTGTCCGTGATATTTTTTTTTTTTTCCCTCGTTCCCTTATTCGAGATTTCTCTTATCGTTTCGACATAAAAATGACATACATTACTGAAATTCCGTAAATTAAAAATCGCTCACAATTACATTCTCCATTAACTTTATTGCTATCGCTGAAAGATATTTTCGAAAAAATTTAATTTCTGCATCTTGAAAATAAGGAATCAATTCTATTAATCAATGTATATCGAATTTTACTTCGTTTCTCGAAAATAGCGAGAGGTTTTCCAGGTTGACATAATGATTGAATCGTCAATGGTGGGATGGCTTTAATTAAATTACACGCCGAGGTCATCGCAGAGTATGGCTGATATAAAAGGACCTTCAAGCCGAAGAAGAGTGTTAAACCAGTTGAGAGCGGTGCGGTACGACATGCTCGTCTCATTAATTCCATTCTTCTTAGGTCGGTAAGCCAATTTTCCATTTAACCGTCTTTATCGTCAATCTGGCTGAATCGGGCCAGGAACTGCTTATATGTGAATGATAATTCATAACTAATTGCAAATCATAGCTTCCGTTCACACGGAGAAAAATAAATGATCAGAAATATTATAACTTATTAATTATTTTTCTTTCACTTATTATTTCCTTCACTCAATTTATACGCACAAAATTATTCTTATCGAAACGAAAATTTGATCGTGATACTTTTAAACTCGAATTGTGTTGTCCTCGTTGAAAGAAAAATTTCGATCAATTGAACCAAGTCATATTCCAAATATTCGAAATATTTACTATTTTTGTTATTCCATCTTCGATCGATTGAAGTAATCAACGAACAATTAATCATAATTTATGAAACATCGATCAATAACGAAATCCACTCGGCATAGATGAAAAACTCGAAAACTTAATTTCGTTTCAGTCGCCCAAGTGGCGGTCGACGAGAGCGTGTGGAAACACGGGCCGGAATACGTTTTCGACGTCGAGATGAACATCACCTCGACCCCGATGAACCACGACGGGGTGCAAAAGTTCAACTACACGGCCATGAACCTGTTCTGCAGGCCGAAAGGATCCGACGGGTTGAGCTGTCACCTGGCAAACACGAGGAGGCAAAGCGTTGATCTGACTAACGACAACAGAATGGACGTGTCGGAGGAAGAAATGAGACAGTTGATCAGCAGCGAACCATTCGAGATAAAATTCAACGAGCACGGTGTCGATTATCTGATAGTGAACGATCGAATCCAGATCGAATTTCTGAACGATGTGAAATTGATATCCGAGAGGTTCAACATCGGTGTCGATCTGAACGGTGTTCCGGATGGAACGTTCGACATTTTGGAGAACACGACCATTGGACAGTGCGCGGTAACGATCGGCCTCAATCACTATCCGTCCAAGAGGATGATGAACAAGATAAAGAACAACAGATACGAGTTGGAATCTTTGCCGCAGTTGAACAAGGTCCCGAGCGAGACTATAGTGATCCAGAAGACGACTAATTTGAATAATTGCAGCTACTACGCGTCCTTCTATTTCGGGTCTTACGGTGCCAACGTTGTCGTCGAGCCTGATCTTCATTCTCATCTAGTGAGCCATTTTCAGTGAGATTGTTTCTCATCGTCGTTGAGAAATTTGATCCGTTTTCTTTTTGTCAAAGTGAAATCCCTTTCAATTCTTGAATATCGTATATTTATACCTTCTATTATTTTTTATACGCGTAAGAAAAGTAGTTAAATTCTATCGTGGGAGTAATTAAATTTTTTTTTATTTTTCTTTTTTTTTTTTTTTAGGAGACTTCAACTAGTCGTATCTTCGTGAGCGACTATCAATTCGTTTCATCGATAACGAGGATGGGCACTCTGGGTTCCGACGAAAAGAAAAATCTCTCCGCCATATCGCAATACGTGAATCTATCTTTACGAGACATTCGAGCTGCCAAGAGAGAATTGCCCGACATTCCTGAACCATCGATAACCACTATTATGGCGAATTCGGAGGTGAACAGAATATTTCCAATGAAGTGAATCGCGTTTTGGATGCTACGAAACAAAACAAAAAAAGAAAATATATGAAATAATAAAATAATCTTCGAGCATTAAATTCTAGGTTAAAAATAGCAGAGTAGCTATTTATGTATATATATATATACAATAGACTATCTTATCTTAATGTACTACAATAATAAACACACGAAAAATGATACGATATTTAAAGAAAAAGAAACTTAATTATCTTATTATCTCCTTCTTCTATTTCAATATAAATCTTACGTTTCGTTCATGTTGAAAAACTTTTCAAACAAGAATTCGCATTATCTTATTAGATAAATTTGTTTTTATTTAAATTACGGATACATTAAATTATATATCTACGGTGACCCACATACATACACACACGTTCATGTACGCACAGAACATCGTGTATATGTGAACGTACGCATTTTTCTTTATTTTTAAGAATTCATCAGCGATCATTGTAAGTTGAAATTACTGATTGACGAATCGATTAAAACGAATATACAGCGAAAGAAAATTTAGCTAATCGATGATCCGACATTTCTCTCGCGCGCATCTTTCTTCCTTTCTTTTTTTCCCTAATCTTACTTTTGCTTTGGAGGGGGAGGGGGGGGGGGAAGGGGAAGAGCAAAAATTTTTCTTTTCCTCGATTTAATCTTAAATCTAAAATTGCGCAGATTGCAAACGGCCCTCTTAAAAGATTACTCGACACTCACTCGAAATCACAAGAATAAACGCCATTCTTCAGCGTTTTTTTTCGATTAATCTTCTTCTTCTTCGTCTTCGTCCTTCGAATTCGATTCGTCTCCAATCAGAACGCACGGAATGTAATTTCGCATTCTGATTAGAGGGAAAAAATGCAGCCTGGTACGAATGTTATCTGTGGAATTGATAACAATTTAATATGCGATTTCGTTTAATCATTCATTATCAAATAATTATTATCCTTAATTAAGAAATGCGTATAACTCGTGTCTCGTCCCTTTAAGAAATTTTTCTTTTCTTTTTTTTTTTTTTTTTTTTCACTTCCATCCAAGAATGTTCCAAGCATCGATGAATTGCACTTTCGTTTAGTTCACCTCGTCAAGCTAAATCGATTAAATATCTGCCAGCTTCCTCCGCAACGATTCGATCCAACGATTCTTTAATCTTAATTTAATTGAGAACGCGTATACGATCGCGGTTTTATAAAAAGTTCGTTATAAATTCTCGAAACGTGGCGCGATTTCTAAAAAAACGTCTAAAAGTTAAACTTCGACATACAAATTTCTCGATAATAACACGATCGTGACGCTCTTATATAGCGCGTAAAATTTAAAAAAAAAAAAAAAAAAAAGAAACAAATATAAACGAATACAAAGATAAAGAGAGTTCAGTCGATTTGTTTTCCGCTTCGCTCGTTTCAGTTTCGAAAGAATGATTCGTCGAATAATTACGCTACCCGTTGTACGAGATGCAAACGTACACGCGCAAAAATAAAATTTTCGAAAGTTTGCTTTAAGTAGACTATTGCGCGAAAGTTTACTCTCCAATAGTAGAAATACCCTCGGTGGCCAACTCTCGAGAGTTTTACTCTAAGATATATTCTAGGGGATATACATCAGTACTCAGTGTGTAATCATATTGTACGCAAAAAACGCGTACGATCAAGAGGAACAAGCGTTGCTTCATCGTTCGCTGTATAAATGTGGGTTCTTCGAGGAAGAGCGATCGGTAAAACGCGCTTTGCTTGCGCTTCGTTATTTCTTCTTTTTCTTCTTTTTTTTTTTCTTTTTTTTTTNTTTTTTTTTTTTTTTTTTTTTCTTAAATACGTAAGTACGTTTCGCTCGAATCGATCGTTAAATATTGCGTCCAATCACGATTACGATTTCGATTAATTATAATGGCACGATTACAATGATCATTGTGCGTTCGTTTCGTTTTGTCGACGGTTCGAATCGGTTCACACACGGTTGTTTCGCCGATTTAAACGATCGGGTACAATAAAAGGTAAACGTGACACGTCACAGATTTACAGCAACGAAAGAAATATCGATTCTTGTATAATATATTTTTTTCCTTCTTTTCTTTAATTATTGCCTTCGATTGGTAATTTCTTCTCTTTTAAAATGCATCTAAACATCGTTTATATAACATTTTTAAAACTTATATCGTTCGATTAAAATTAAATATTCGGAAATAGATAGATACAAAAGTTTGGGATATATTTTTATGGAGATCAACTTGAAGATGAACATTGGAAAATGGTATCTCGCGGTGAAAGCTTTCTTTTCTTTTTTTTTTTTCTTATATATATATATAATTAAATACATTATTCGTAATTCTCCTAAGAATTTCCATTTTTCGAATTGATCCATTGATTGATTGATTGATCGAAGACTGATTGCCATTGTAAAGTTATGACAATTTCACATTCGCAGTATCAAATACGTGTACACATTTCAAACATATATAATATGATTTAAGAATGTAAATATAATATATATATATATATATATATGTATACATATATATATACATATAATCGACAATTTGAAAGCCACGTATATCCGGTATACGCGAATTATTTCGTTTCCATCGAGTTCTTTCGGTCTTTCGGATATATATATTACGGATATATGATCGCGTATCGATTTTTCCTTCTTTTCTTTCTGTGATCGATACAATTGAGAGACCGTTTGATCGATTTATACAAATCTTAAAAAAGATCACGATTATTAAAAATGAGACAAAGATATGATTGAAAGATCGGAGAAGGAGAATCCCCTTGTATCACAAGAGATACAAGATGAAGTACTTGACGTAAAACTCGTGATCGATAAGCGACGTACAAATCATTCAGATATTTTTCCTTTCCTACGCGAGAAACAAGAAAAAGTACGTATTATCTGAAACGTTACTCGTCATCATACAATCAATTTTTCACTTTATCCTTCGACTTTATGCCTCTTGTTCTCGCTCTACCTCTATCTAATAAAAAATAAAAATTCGAAATCATCGCACTTTGTGAAAATCACTCTCGTCCTCCTAATAATTACTCTCAACCCAAATCACGGCAAACGAAATGATCAGACGCATGAAACGCACTCCGCTTTTAATCGTCGTCCCTCTCCTCTCTCTATCAAGCGATTCCTCCCCTTCTCTCGTTTCCTTTTTTCCTTTCTCTCTCTCTCTCTCACACACACACACACGCGCGCACACATACACATACACACATTTTCTTTCGTTTTTTTGTTTGCTTTTTCTTTCTTTTTTTCTTTTTTTTTTTTTTTGCTCCTTTCGATTCGGAAAACAAGCCTACCCTAACCTAAGTTTATATACAAATTATTACGCTCGATAAAAGAGACACGGCGATACACCGCGACTCAGTCGACACTCAGTTCCTCCCGTGCACGTCGTGGAAAACGCGCGGGGACGTTTCGCGGACGTGGCGCGCCATTATTATTGGCTGTTGTTCATCACGTTATTCTGCTTCACGGAATCCATATTGGGGATGTAGTCCATCGCCATGAGGCAGGCGAACACCGTCATCACCATCTTCGGTTTCACCTCGGTTATGTCTTCTGGTAGCGCGTATACTCGCGCTCCGCATTTTCGGGCCAAGGATATCGCGTACTTCGCGTTGTCCAGGTTCTCCTGAAACAGTTGAACAGGAACATTAAAACATCTAGGTCGAGGGAATAGATCGATTTGCAAATTCGTTCGATTAGAAGTTCGATTCTTTATTCTTAAAGAAAAAGAAATGGAAGAAAACGATAAAACGTTTGAAAACCGATGGAAACGATTTTGAACATAGTGGAACGTAAAAACGTGAAGATAATAACTACTTCGATCCTATCTTTTTACTTTTCTCCTTTGAAACCCTTCTCGAGGAAAGAAAATCCGGAGGATAGAAACGGTGTACTAAAACGTCTCGGCTCGAGACGTTTACGAGGTCGTAACTCAGAAACGGCGGGATCGAGACCGGGTTGAAAACCGATAGGACGACGGTTTGGAACGTGGACGACTGTAAAAGTGAACGAAATCGACCGATTTGCAAAGGAATAACACGAATAATAAAGAAACAATCCGCGTTACCTCCTCGGTACCGCCCTCCTTCACCAGGTCGTAATTCACTGAACCTGGCTTGATGGCGTCGATAAGATCGATCACCACCTTGCCATCGGCTATCGACGAATCCTGGAACCCCTTGATACCGCTCGCCTTCCCTGCCGCCTGAAGCTTCGAGTTCACCCATTGGACGATCTCCTTCTCGACCAAGGTGCTTCCTTGGGTGCCGGCCAACGACGTGAGGATCGACAACGTGTACGACCTCATCAATTGCCAGATCAACGCCAGTGTCAACGTTGCGTTGCCATCGTTTATATCCTGACCCGCGATCCCCACCAACGAGAAATTCATCGTTTTCCCAAGCTCGACCGCGTAATTGCAGTTCTCCAACTTCTCCATGAACTTGCGCAACTTGGTGAACTTTTTGTGCACCCGGTTCCAATTCACCGTGCCCGGTTTGATGATGTCGTAAAGTTGGAAGATGACCAGGCCGTCGGCCAGGTCCGAGTACAGCCAGTTCACGTGGGGAACCACGCCCATCGAGTTCATCCAGTTACGATAGGTCTTCTCCTCCCTGGTCTCCTCCAACGATTCCAACCCTATGTTGTTCTCCGGCTTGTCCAACCCCGGATAATTGTTGAACATGTTGGCGACGAAGGCGAGATTCAGCTTGTATATGCCGTTCACCACGTCGCTCGGCGTCACGAAACTTCGGCAGCCGAGCTTGGCCGCCTGTTGCAGCATGATCTCGGCGCGGGATGTGTGATTCGGCTCCATCATTGCCTCGAGAGTGACGCCCGCCGTGTTGGGCGCGATCTGTTTGATGAGGTAGGTGTAGATCTCCGAGTCGGTGATGTCCGATTGGAAATTGTGACACCTTCTCACTATGCCGGCGTTCTCCAAGTGGTGGTTCACCCATCTGAGGAGGATCGACTCGGGGGAGAGCTTGAGGAGGTCCTCGATTCGCTCCCCGTCTTGCAACAGGGTGGCGAGGCCTGGACAATTCTCGAGGGTGATCTGGTTGAACAGGCCGATTCGAATGATCTGCCAGAGGAGGCCGAGGACAAGGTGGGGCGAGCCTTTCGTCAGGTCGTGGGCGTCTATGTTCACGATGTTGCACCCGATCGCCTGGGCCGACGAGAGGGCCAACGTTAGGTTCTCGTGTTTCTTGTACAGCGTTAGGCTCTTCTTGTTGATCGTTCGCTCGTCGATCGTGTCCGGGCAGGAGTGGTTGATTATTTTGCTGAAAAATAGAGCTTTTCACTAATCGGTATCAATGAGTCCGATTCAAGCGATTTAAATATTTGAAAATGCGATGAAAGAAGTAATTTGTAAATGTATGCAAAAGTTAATATAAACGTTTTTTATATCGTATCTTGATTTGTAATTCTCTAAGAAATTGCATATACTTTTGCAAAAACAATCTCCACAATCAATCTCGTAAACAGAAACGAGTTAAAAAAATTAATCAGTATATAAAATTTCGAATAAAGTAATAAAATTCGCAAGTTTGCCCATCTCTTTGTAAAAATATACTAAATATTCAAAGTTCGAATTAATCGAATCTTGAATAATCTGAATTCTCTAACAAATTTCCTTTTAAAAATATGAATTTGATTTATACGAATTCTCTAACAAATTTCCTCGTAAAAATATGAATTTGCCTAGACTTTTCCAATCTCCACAAACAATCTCGTAAACAGAAATGAGTTGAAAAATTAATCAGTATATAAAATTTCGAATAAAGTAATAAAATTCGTAGCAACTTTGCCCATTTCTTTGTAAAAATATACTAAATATTCAAAGTTCGAATTAATCGAATCTTGAATTCTCTAACAAATTTCCTCGTAAAAATATGAATTTGCCTAGACTTTTCCAATCTCCACAAACAATCTCGTAAACAGAAATGAGTTGAAAAATTAATTAGTATAAAATTTCGAATAAAGTAATAAAATTCGCAACTTTGCCCATCTCTTTGTAAAAATATTCAAAGTTCGAATTAATCGAATCTTGATTTATACAAATTCTCTAACAAATTTCCTCGTAAAAATATGAATTTGCCTAGACTTTTCCAATCTCCGTAAACAATCTCGTAAACGAGTTAAAAAAATTAAATAATTAAAATTTCGAATAAAGTTAACTCTAAGTAATAATTTAAATTTTGTTTTAAAAATTTACTCGAAGCAACTCATCGTCGATAAATAATGTAATAATCGATCGATAAATGAAAAAAAAAAATAAATGCATACCAAAGAAGAATGCCATCCTTGACCTTCTCGTACAAGGTCTTCCCTTCGGGGTCTATTGGCAGCAGGTGTTTGAGGTCAGGATCGTGCGACAAATTCGTGTTTATCCAGTCGCTGAAGGCGAGCTGTTCCTCCAGTCTAACCGAATGCGTGGTCCCCTCGCTCGACGCTTCCGAGATCCCTCCCAACGTTTCCAAATTCTCCTTTTTCGAGACCACCTGCTTGAACGTGGATCCCAATTCGTTCGCCTTCAACTCCTTGCAAAGTTTCTCGAACTCCTCGAACGACAATCGACCCTTGTGCTCCGACCTCTGTTTGTCGTCGTACTCCTCGATCATCTGCCGCACCTTGTATCCGGGCATCTTGAAGCCGCAGATGTCCAACGCGCTTCGCAACTCCGTAAGGTTGATGAAACCGTCCCCATTCTCGTCGATCTAACAAAAATAAAGCCTCTTCTATATTTTCTGAGAATGGTGACTTCGAGGTGTCTGAAGGATTTTTTTTTAGGATCTTCGAAACCTTTGGATGGATTTGATATTTTGGGAAAATAGTCTTGATTCCGTGGGATTCATTTATTCATTTATTTTTGGAATCTTCTAATTCGTTAGTTTAAGAGTGAGTTTCGATTCTTGAGGATTCAATATTATATATATTATAGGATTCTTGAAATTTTTTGATGATGAACGTTCTTGAGGATTCAAATCTTCAAGTTTTCGGATTCTTGGAATCTTCGAATTCGAATAGTTTAGGAGTTTTGGGTTTCGATTCTTGAGGATCAAATCTTTAAGTTTTCGAATTCTTGGAATCTTTTAATTCGCTAATTTATGAGTGGGTTTCGATTTTTGAGAATTCAGGTGTATCATAGGATTCTGGAAATTTTTAAATCACGTTCTTGAGGATCAAATCTTCAAATTTTCGGATTCTTGGAATCTTCTAATTCGTTAGTTTAGGAGTGGGTTTCGATTCTTGAGGATTCAAATCTTCAAGTTTTCGGATTTTTGGAATCTTCGAATTTTAGGACAAGATTTCGATTCTTAAGAATTCAGGTGTATTGTAGAATTCTTGAAATTTTTAAATGACGCTCTTGAGGATTCGAATTTTCGCGAATAATCTTGATTCTATAGGATTCAAATCTTCATTTATTTTCGGATTCTTGGAAACTTCGAATTCGCTATTTCAGGAGAGGATTTCGATTCTTGAGGATTCATAGGAAATTCTCGAATAATAATAAAAATAAAAATGAAAAAAATCTCAAGATTGGAATAGAAATAACGTTGCTTTTTAAATTTCCATCCATCGAGTATCCAATTGTTGTCTACCATTAATTTAAACCATTGTAACTTTCCAATTCGAATTAGCTCGGATTATTTGTTTAATCAGATTAATTCTATCTGATAATTCTAATCTAATGAAAATTCGATAACGGAATTACGGCGAAACAATTTCGGAAAAAAAAGTATCGCCTTAACTCGCGATCGCGTATCGCATATGTGATCAACGGAGGGAAATGTTTTTTATCGCGGCCGACTCGCGCCTCTCTCGACCAATCATATCTAGTCTGTCCGCAATAAAATTCTGCTCGCTAGTCTTTCAAGGAATGCAAGAATCGCGATTGTAAACGACGAACAATTTCCACGGAGAGAACAATACATCCGTGTCGGAATAATCGTCGGATGCGCTTTCTTGGAAAAACCTCGCATCGGGGTTAATCGACGGTTCATTGTGTTTCATTCACGGAGAGAATCGTGTCGCAGCGGTCGATTAATACCCATTCCGCATTTATCACTCTGAATCATTCGTAAGATTCGTACCCGTCGTATTCTCCCTGCTTTACCATCGAGTAGTAAAAAAATTCCTTTTCAATCGTATCGCTACGTCGACGTGTATAAAACAGCGTGTAAAAAGAGTTATTCGACGAGTTTTCAGCCTCACAATCGCGTTCGCCGATAAAAATTTCGAACGATTGATAAACCAAACGAATGAGTCACTCCGCTTCGTTTTCGAACACCTTTCATTCATATACTGTTCGTACGATATGAAAAGATCCGCGATTTTTTCTAAAAGCGGCCAGGATTCCACCACGTACGTATCTTTCACGCCCAATTCCCCGGATTAACCGATCCGATTGATCCGAAAATCGAGAATTTACGCGAAACGATGAATCTTCTACTCACTAGATTGAAGAAATCGGAGAAATCCTTGGAATATTCCTCGATAACGTCCCATTTTTCTATCTCGCGAAGCTCCATGATTGAGGAAGGCGAAACGAGAGGAGAACGCGATCAGGCGCGGTTACGATGCAACGACATACTGAAGATTGCATCTGGTCTTGCTTGTTATCACTGTTATCGTTCGATAAAAGGGAACGGTGAAGAAAAGAAATTCATACGATACCTTATCGACGCGGTGACATAATATCGTAGCGTTAAGTGACCGATTTTTCGATTGTTTGGAACTTTATTTGCATACGACAAATCATCACTCGATCGATTTATTCGTTTTGAAAATTTGTTGAATGTTTCTTTTTCTTTCTTTTTTTTTTTTTTTTTTTTTCTTTGAGTAAAGATTTGTCGGAAAGATATATCGTTTCTGCAGTGAAACGAGGAAATGGAATAATCTGTTGCGCGAAATTATTGAGTAACAAAACGATTAGAAATCGTTTGCCATTATTGACAGATCAAAAATGACGACACGACGACAAAAGATTACAACAAAGTGTCATTTTATCGGGATAAAAATGTTGCGATTAAACGACGAGTTAATTTTTTTATACATAATTGTTAATAAAACGCTAATAAATATCTAATAATCTCTTATCTTAAAAAAACTTCTAAAGCAATTAAGATACAAAAAGATATTTATACATATATATACATATATATATATATCCATAAAAGAATCCGAATGATATTCATTTGTGATAGTTTATCACAAGTTATTTATTTCATCTATCTTCCAAATAACTAATAATCACAATAATTAATAAGCGTTATTAAGAGATTAAAAGATCTTCATAATTCAACATTTTAAATTTAATCTAAATAACTTATCTCTCATCGTCTATTATACATATTCGAATTTTTATCAAATTTACGCGTTTTGAAAATCGAATTGAAATTCTCTGCTCGCGAGCAGAAAACTCTCGAAAGTTCGCAAAGTTCATTAATAAAGAGTTGTCGAGCGTGGATGTTGATCGACGAAAAACGATACGAGTCGTAACGCGAACCACGGCTTAATAAAACGAGAGCTCGAAAATAGTGAGAGAGAAGTCAAACGGAGCGCGTTGACCCGGCGAAATGCGCCACTTCGATCGTGGGTAATTCGTAACCGGGTCAACTTAGACGTACCTTCCCACCTATCCCACGTATTCCATCCCATCACGCCAGGATATCGATAACTGTCTCGTTTTTCACTTCGCGTTACACACGGTCCGATTCTCTGTATCAATTAGTATATAATGTTTCTCGTTATAATAACATACGGTGCAATCAGAGCATGCTCTCAGATGATTATAAAATTGCATAGAGTTGAACGGAAAAATCTTCCTTGTCCCATGTCCTTTCGCGTAAATCTTGAACGAATATTATAGTATATACGGTTAATAATGATTGAAATAGAAATATCTTTTTAAACGACTAACAAAGAGATAAGAAGAATTGGACTTTAGTTGAGATGTCGTGTCGTTCAAATCTATATATATATTCGACACGCATAATTTAACGATAATTTATTCCGCAGTTTGTAAATTTTAACGAGGGATTGAATTCCGGAAGCTCGAGAAAAAATACTAGAATCGTAAAAACCGTTCACGATTTATGTAACGTATTCTCGTCAGAATTTTTGAATTTCGAAACTTTTTAGATTTCAACGCGTTATTGAAAATACTCGATATCATCGTATTTTCACGAAAAAACATACAAGACACGTGAATTAATGGAGGGAAGTCATCTTTCGTTTATTACATTACAGAAACATCACACGAAAGATACATCCTCGTATCTAATCGTTCTTCCCGAGAAATGAAATCCGTCGAGAATTTTATCACCTTTAGCAATATTTTAATAAAAATCGGATTTCATCGAAGAATTCCAATAAAGTATGGAAGACGCGAAAAGTGCATCGTCTCCTGCCGTTGATCATCACAGAATTCATCGAACATCTGGCCATCCTCCGACGGGAAATCGATCGACGAATCGTCCGTCTCATTAGCAAATGTGTCGACTTAAAAACCTCTCGTTGCTCGCCTCGAAAAAGTAACGTGGAACTGGCGTAAATAAGAGTACGCATCGGTCGTAAACTGGATAAGAGAGGGCCGAACGTGAGAGAAGCGACGACAGCGTTGCCACGCGAGGACGGCAAACGAACGAGGAAGGCAAACGGAAAGAAAACAATATTGCGCGCGTTACGGTGTGGCGTGGCGTGGTTGTTGTGCAAGCCGAGTTATGCATTTACTCAAGCTTGAAACGCCTACCGGTTGCTCGCACCGCCTCTCTATGCTCTCCCCGACTTTCTCGAATTCTATGGTGTGCGACGATCGGCCGCGATCCGCCAAGGGATTGCAGCCGCATTTTTGCATACGAAACGCATCGCCGTTCCCCTCGTGGCATCCGGAAGGCCACGAGTCGATAGGAGAATGCTCGAGAATCGTTTCGCATCGAGCACTCTATTTTACATTTACCAACGATCGATGGAGATACTTTTATCGGTGATCCGTTGTCGACCAATTATCTTCCATATTACGAAAAATGTTACGGTTTTATAATGTGACACGATAGCTTGGGAAATCGATATTTTATTATTTTATTTTTATTACACCGTTTCACGGTGATTCGAATGGGAACAATTCATGGAGAAATTTTATCGATTTTTAAGATTTGTTCTTAATAAATTATCTTTCATATTACGAAAAAGTTACAGTTTTATAATAGCTTGGGAGATCGATTATTTTATTTTACTTTTGGACACGTTTCACGGTGGTTCGAATGGGAACAATCATGGAGAAATTTTATCGATTTTTAAGATTTGTTCTTAATAAATTATCTTCGATATTATGAGAAAAAGTTATAGTTTTATAATGTAATACAATAGCTTGGGAAATCGAGTATTTTATTTTACTTTTATACGCGTTTCACGGTTGTTCGAATGCGAACAATCATGGAGAAATTTTATTAGTGATTTGTTGATGTTATCGATGAATTATCTTCGACAAGGAGTGGTTTACAATTTTATAACTCGAGTAAATGTAGTATAACTCGAGAACTTTTTTTTTTATATTTACGGTGCTCGAACAATGGTGAAGAAATTTTATTATTTATATAATTCATTTATATACCGTGAATATATATCGATATTTACACAAGAATATATTTTAAATATCGTATCGTGTTTTTGGAAAACGAGATTTTATCTCAAGGCAAATTTTATTTTATTTGAA